GCAAGTTATATGAAAGGCTAGATAAGTTATCATTGCAATGAAACTACTCGGTTTGAAATGAAGTCTATTAAGTGGTAGTGGTTATCTGTGGATAATAATACACTAACAATAAAAAAGAGTATAATTCAGTGGCACAGAACATAAATATTTCTAAGACTAGGTGAAAGAGAAAAAGAATAAACTAGCGAATTAGAAGTCTCATTTTTTAGAGCTATTCAATCAAAAACATCTTTATCTTGCATACTTTATGCTAATCACCAGGATGTAAATGGACAAGCTATTAACTCTCAGTACTTCAGGTCGAGTTTGTTAATTTACATGAACATGAAGGAACATTTATGGAGGGCTGTATTTTCGCAAGCTGTGACATTATCCGATGCAATATATGGCACAGGACACCGGATTGACATATAAAAAGTTTTCATCATGGTCATAAAACGGAAGGATTCTCATCAACTCAGCCTCCTCGAAGCTGTAATTATCAAATGAAAATAAACTATCTTGTGTTCACAAATGAATGTTGGTCAAACCTTCACTTCCAAGACGGTTGAAATTATTTTGGTGTTGTTGCTATCATCGTAAAAAGGTTTATATAATTTTAACTACCATTCTATCAGCTGTTATCTGTGTGTCAATGAAATGTTCATATAGAAATGTAAAGGTAGATTTCAGCTTGAACCTATGTCAGCTAAACAACTAATAAAACCCGTAGGTGGGGACTCTTGTGCAGTGCTCGCCTAAAACAGAAAGTACGAAAATATAAATTCCTCTTAGTCATTCTAGAAACCTTTTCCTATTTCCTTGTAAATATGCATCTTACCGTCAATAATTTTATTTGTTTTCTCACTCATTCCCATTATGAACTCATCTACTGTCACAAAATCTAAATTCTTGTCTAATTCGGTACGTTGGTTGTCAACTTATCTATTTAAGCTGTATGCAACTGAATACGAACCAGTAAAGTAAGGATGGTTTGATATTACTGTCAAGATCATCAGAAATCACCTTACGTTATTATACTGAAACTGATTTAATGGGAAGAAGGGGTAGCCGGGGTTGACATTCATACATCAGTATTATTGTTATTATTTCCTCTAATTCCTAGAGGAACATAGGGCTTCAGCCGTGCGTCTCCATTGCCTTCGGTTCTCTGCTAGAGTCTTCACCTGGCTACAAGTCTGCCCACATGTTTTCATCTCCTCTTCACATGACCTCCTCCAAGTCACCCTCACACTGACGACCAACTCGCCGCTTCCCTTTCGGGTTTCACTCGAGCAATGGCTTGTCTAGTGATGTCACTTGATGGTTTCCTAAGAGTATGGCCAATCCATCTCCATTTCTTCCTTCCTGCCTATTTGTTGCACAATCGGTTCCTGTTCGGTTTGCTCCCACAGGTCCCTATTGCTGATCTTTTCTGGCCATCTGATCTTGACTATTGAGCGAAGACAACCGTTAATGAAGGTCTGTAGTTTGTTTGAGATGCTCTTTATGACGCGCCAATTCTCTGATCCGTATAGTAGCACTGACTTCACATTGGAGTTGGTGGTGTTGCCCAGGGATCTTCATCACCTCTGTTTTCTCTATGTTCACCTGAAGTCCTATCTTTGATGCTTCTTCTGCTAACTTGTTGCTTTTCGCTTGCATATCTTCCAGTTTATGGGAAATCAGACATATATCATCGGCGAAGTCCAGATGCTCCAAGTTTTTTGTGTGTGTCCATTTTATGCCTGTTTCCTCATTGCCCACTGTTTGCCGCATTATCCAGTCTACTGCAATCAAGAAAATCATTGGCGATAGTAGGCAGCCAGGTTGTCTTACTCCTGTCCTCACTTCGAAGGATTCCGTAAGTTTCCCATTGTGGATTACTTGGCATGCAGCATTGTCGTACAGCTGTTGGATGAGATATAAAATTGTCGGTCGCACCCCCTGGTATTAGCGAAGTAGTTTCCAAATCACTTCTCGATCGACGCTGTCGAAGGCCTTTTCAAAGTCAATGAAGTTGAGATAGAGAGGTGACTGCCATTCCAAGCTTTGTTCAATGATGATCCGTAATGTGGCGATCTGATCAATGTATTACTTGTTTCTCCTGAATCCAGCCTGTTCCGGTTGAAGTTTTTCATCCAGGGCTTGTTTGATTCTCTCCAGGATGATGCGGCTCAGTATTTTGCTTGGTATAGACAGGAGCGTAATTCCGCGCTAGTTCTTTGCATTGACTTAAGTATCTTTTCTTCCAATCCTCGGGTACTTTGCTTTCTTTCCACACCTTCTCCAGTAGTGGTGTGTGTCATCAAGTCCGCTGTTGTCTCTGGGTCCGTTTTCAATGCTTCTGCTGGGATTCCATCTGGTCCTGCTGCTTTTCCAGCTTTTAGCATCTTGATTGTCTTCAGGACTTCTGATTTCGTCGGGGAGTTGGTGTTCACTGGTAGCTCTGTATCCGTCGTTGGTATTGTTGGGTGCGTTGCAGGTGGTGGTCGATTTAGGAGTCTTTTGAAGTGTTCAGCCCAGTGTTTCCTTTGCTCCACTTCTTTGGTGAGTGACTTTCCGTTGTCATCCTTCACTGGCTTAATTTGTGTCAAACTTTTGCCCGATAGGTACCTAGTTGTTTGGTAGAGTGTTGCGAGGTCTCCTTTGCCTGCAGCTTGTTCTGATTCCCTTGCCATGGTTTCATAATACTTTCTTTTGTCTTCTCTGGCACTCTCCTTTACTCTTTTGTTCAGTGTCTTGAAGTTTGCATTCAAATCCTGTTTTTGTTGCTCGTTGGTGCACTGGATAATCTTTTGTTTCACCATCCCTCTCTCTTCTATCAGTCTCCAAGTGTCCGTAGGGAGCCACTGTTTGTCCTGTCTCTTCTTTCTGCCTAGAACTTTCATGCAGGTTTGACTCCACACTGTTTTTAAGTTGTTCCAGTGCTTTTCGACGCTGATCTCTTCGCCAGTGTTGATTTGTGTCTCGGCTTTGTCTTTTATGCTTGCAGTGAAGATGTACTTTGTGTCCTGGTCCTTTAGTTTTTGAGTGTTGAACTTGGCTTGTGGTCTATCTGCAGCTCCTGATTCTCTGAAAGCTTTTAGTTTGATTTGGATTGTCCCTTGTACGAGGTAGTGGTCTGAGCCAACGTCTGCTCCTCTTCTTACTTTCGTGTCCAGTAGGCTTCGCCTCCACTTCCTTGAGATTGAGAGGAAGGTTTTTGGTTCGCCCATCTGGTGACACCCATGTAGCCTTGTGGATATCCTTGAATTTTATACGCTGCCACCAGTCACTAGTTCACTGAAGGCGAAGAAGTCGGCGAAGAGTTCTCCGTTTTCATTCATTTCTCCAAGAGCTTCTCTACCGAGGATGAGTTCCCTTCCTGTGTTGTCTGATCCCAGTTTGGCGTTCATGTCTCCCATCAGTATTTTAATGTCGCCGACTGGAGTATTGTCCATTGTTGCACCAATGGACAATAATTGCTTCCTAATAACTGAGTAGGAGCTCTATTAACCATTTTATGAGGCCCAGTCATCAGGGTTTTTACGCAACTAACAAGCGGATCATTCATCCATGCCTACTCGTTTAATGTCATCACAAGAGTAAGTAAACTGTTGGTGAAATTAACTGTGGCTACCATAGGCTGATTAGCAGCAGCTGACGGCAAGTGTCATTCTTTTGGCTAATTATTGTTATTACTGTTAATATTTTATTTTGTAGGTTTTCACTCGCTTACTAATTTTGTTATTTCACCTGAAGGCAAATCTATCTAATGACTCGTAAGAGTTTAATCACGAAGCCAAATATCACATCTATAAGTCACTTGTAAAGGTATGCATTACTTTGCTCAGTCATTCAGGCGGTCATCGTGTCTTGATACAATTTAATGCAGATGATTAGATATAAATTTAAAGTGAGGATATATAGTAATTAAAGGAAGGACTGCCAACCATTTGTATGTATTTCAAATCGTGAATCCCATTCTTGTAAATTAATTCTACTTTGGATTATCTATTAGTAGTGTGCACTTAAATAGTACATGGAACTATCAAACCCATCTCTGAAGTACTGATGCATCGTTTTTATCTTTTTCACAAGCAGAATGCAAACAAATGTTCATTTGTAATTTTTGAATAAAACCGGGAGTCAAGTAGTGAGGCGCTATTTTTGAGCAGTTACGCATACTGGCTATGAGGAGTAGTGTACACTTATATTCCGATAATGCAACGACATTTTACTAATTTAATTATAAACTAAAACAAAAATCTTGGGTCACAAGGCTGTATCCTCAAACGAAAAATCTGTCTCAGAAAATGGAAATAGGTCGAATATATGCTAAGGACACAGTCAAGTGATATAGCATAGCATCGCTGATTGGAATTTGGTTGATATTTGATGAGAAGGGTGTCCGGCATTGATATCGAGGAAATCATGTGAAGAGAAAATGGAAGATTTTGTTCAGTCCTGGACCTAGTTGAAAATCATGGCAGAGAATAGCGTACAGTTGAAATGTGCTGCTGAAGCCTTATATTTCACTTGAAAGGCAAGTAATGAATACTAATAATAATACTAAAAAAACTGCTGAAATTTACAAGTAGTTGTAAGGTGGGGGAAAGCCTCTGTTTTATGTTTCAGACAAACCAAGCAGATGAAAATCAACCTGAAACAAAGTTAACTTCCCCAGTGAACCTAAGAGAGATGTAAGAAGTCTTCACAAAAAGAATAAATCAGAGTAGAAACACACCGATCAGATGGCTTTAGTATACTTATTACACAATCTTAACAGACTCTACTAAAAGAAAGAAACCCATTCTCATGCAGACAATCTTGGTCACTGGCCGACCCTCAAAATACTTCGATGTCCTGGCTTATAGGACTAAAAACTGCATATTGAATACCAGGTGGATTGAACCATAAGCTAATCCTCTTTCTGTCACTTTCTCTAACGTTAATGCCCTGAAAATAGACTAGAAAATGTTTATCACTAAGAAGGGAAAAAAATAGAAGCGTAACAAGATCAACATTTTGAAACTTACGGTTTGCTGCTGGACTGGTTGGACTGATTTACTGACTTATCTGGATAATTCAGCCCGGTTGGATTTCTTGTAGTCGTATTTGCTGTAACATAATTTGGAGTTCCATATTTACGGCATAAACTGAGTAGTTCGTTTTCCAGCCTGTTCATTTCATACCTCACAAATTCATGATCATGTTCTATCGATTGGATATTGTTTCCTCGGTAAAGACTGTGTCGACGTGGTGGAACTGATGGCGGTTTATCTTTATAATGTCTATCTATTGGTGTAAAGTCGACTGTTTCATTCTCTAAATTACTAACAGGAATATCGCCTTTTGTTGTTGTTGTTGAAGTTATTGTTGCTGTTGAAGATGTATTATTGCTAGATGGTAGAGAATGTTGTTTAACTGGGCCTTTAACACGAGATGAATTCATACCCATCAACTTTGAACTATGTTGTCGTAATAATGAGAATTCCAGACAAGTGTCTTTAATTTTATTCTGATTTTGAAAATGTATTTTCAGGTTTTTATGATAAAAGAGACAGTATAATAAAAAGAAATATATATATATATATAGACTATTTTCATAAGAATGACATAAACAACAAGTAAAAAGGCTCTTCTTTTTACAGAATTATTTAGTTGGCAAACACTTTAAAGTTCAATGAACAAAAAACAGGTAGCCAGATGTAACTATATAACAGAATAATGTTCAGGTGCACACATATCAACAATAAACAACAATGGTACTTTTACAATGAAAGCAGATAAAATGAACATTAGGCATATACTACTACCATATATCGTTACTGTTATTATTATCATTGTGGTAACCAGTAGGTTGAACATTCTACATTTACATGTGAATATTGTACAGCTAGCTTAAAGCTGTTCGCTTCACTTTAATTAAATGACTGAACAACATAGTTGTATAAAAATGTAATTTAAATACCCTTCTTTCAATAAACTTGAGTTGACTTAACCAAATGAGACTAATAGTGTGTGTGTGCGTGTGTGCATTTCTGTCACTCAAGTTTCATCCAAGCATGCATTTAATATGAAGCAGTGTATATCATTTAATAACCCACAACTTGCTTGATAATTGCCATTTTTTTTATTAATTACCATTCATTTTCCAGAAGCATTACAAAAACACACACACAAGTGTAAGCACTATATCGATTTCTTTCAATCAAACGGATACAACGACGCGGATAGCACTGATTACAACAACAATGAAAAGATCAGACAACAAAGTGTCACAACAACACACTTAACAATTGGTCACATTCTTTATTTGCTTACTGGTTACTGTCTTCCTTTAAAAGAATTCTCCTTCCTCTAAATACAAGCAGACTAAAAAGTGTTTTTGAAGAAAAAACACGTAATTATACAGTTTCCTCATTCGAACTTACACACTAATTTATAACAACTAAAAGTGTAATCCATACACTGTTACATGGGTTTTAAAAAAAAGGGAGTACTTTTTAGTAAAAGACAAGTGAATACATGTCATTTATGTCAGAATACAGTGAAAAATCTGTGCTGACCACTAAATGTTAGACTTGAAGTAACTGTAGATGATATGGTTCATCAGTAAGTTCGTTATGAGTTACTAGAAGGGGAAGTACTACAATTTTCTGAAATGCAACATACTGGAAGATTAGTAATACTTTTTTTCAGGTTGTGAGATTCTCGAAAGGTACGTACAATCAAAGGCACACAGTCATCTTCATTCAACAACCACTGCTGATTGTCGCATTTCCTAGTCGAAAATAAACAGTGTATGTTACAACGTCACAACACAAAGGCTCAATTACTGATAATAGCAATGACTTATTGCCAGGTTTTCTACTTTTAACAAACTAATTCCCCTTAATTTAGAGATGGAATTTATTATCGGCTAAATACTTATCTTATAAATATTGACTGGTTTCAACGTAGAACTTTGCACCGAAGTGCAGCAGTTCGACTCACCACACTTCAATTAGCAGACAAAACAAGAGAAGAAAGTAAAGAGAAATACAAAACAGAGACAGTAAACTAAAATAGGGGGGAAAAAGAATAGCAATATCGAAGAACAATGTAGTTTCATTGAATATTATAAATCACAAGGAGCGGATGCATCTGCGCCATTGTTGAGAACGATTTTGAGCCATGTTATCAATTGTCTCCAGCCATCGGTTTTTACCGTCCCGAGGACCCTAACCAGGAAGTCTACACCTTCCTACATGGCTGGCTTGAACTAACTGCTGTGGATTTCATTGACTGATGAAGCCATGTTTTGGTCTGACCACCACTTGGTCTTTTCCAGCCTGGCTGTATGTCAGCTAACATTGCCCGTCGAGGAAGACGATGGCTATGAATACGTAACACATGTTCTAATCATCGCAATCAATGTAACTCCACAGCCTCGTCGATTGATTTCAACTCCTTACCTAGCACTCGACGCCTAACCTCAATATTGCTGACCCTATTATACCACTTCACACGGGAGATCTGACTCAGGCACCTATGGTCAAAGACATCTAGCCTTTTCATGTCCTCCCCTCTCAATGGCCAGGTCTCACAGCCATAAAAGAGGACGGAGCGGACTGCTGAGAAGTACACACATCTTTTAGTCGATAGCCGGATATCACGTCTACGCCAGAGATGGCTTAAACTGGCATATGTGAAACCAGCCCTCTGTATCCATGCGGAGATTTCGTCAGCGATCAACCCTCTGGGATTGGCTGATGCAACTTCCTAAATATTATAAACAACGAGGTATTGAGGCAGCAGTCAAGCCAACAACCTATTGCTCTACAAATATACAGAAGAAAATGGAGATTGTTTGAACATACGTTGAAAAAACAGTCAAGCGACATCACACATAAAATGAAAAACGGTGAGTTGGTCATTCAAGGATGACAAGAAGGAAACCATGTGAAGAGGAGACGAAAGCTTATGGGCAGATGTAAAGAGAGATGAGAAAAGTGGTATAGAATGAGAGTTGTGTTGCTGAAGCCCTATGCCCTCCTTCGAACTTCAAGAATGAACAATGACGAATAATAAGAAAAGAATTCCGCATTTCTGTTAGAGATTGAACAAAGTGATCCACACTATGCGAATGCTCGATTATTGAAGTTCATGACTTCTACTTGTATTTATCTATTTTTTCTTATTCCTTCACGTTCCCAGTGGAACATAGGGTTTCAAGCTAGAGAATTGAAGTTTCTGTAGCAGTGTTTATTTTTACTGGATGGGGTTGCTAGCCTCATGCCCAACCTTTCCTCTTTACCAGCTTTATTTCTGGCTTAGCGAGGTAAAGGAGTGCATTGGCCGGGAATCGAACCCCGGACCATGTGCATGGTCGGTGACCATCCCAACCTCTGTGCCACCGATGCACTTGTTTAATAAATGAATTATTTGTATCCACTGTCTCGAGAAGATGTGTCAAGGCAACTCAAACCACAGACACACGCCTGAAGCTGTGAAAAACGCAGCTGTGAACTATATTTAAGCTTCACTCTATTAACTCACAGAAAATTTAGCCTTGAAGCGAATAATACAAGTAGTTGGGAAACGCATAGTCAACAGTAAAGAAAACAAGGTAGCTGAAGTATAGTCCCATTTAAAATTTCCCCTCTTTACTCAAGCTGCCAGTAACTTGGGTATAAAAATCAAGTCGGAACAGGTGTAATATCGTGCACATTTATTAAGTATATTCGTGTTATATATTCGATTTATGAATTTTGTTTTCTAATTTTAATTTTCTATAGAAGGTAATTACTCATGTTCCGTTGGCACATTTTGCCTTCGCATTAATTATTATTCCTCTCTCTCATCTACAAAATAAATCCTAAATATGAAGCGCTGATACTTACACGAAAACAGATTTCAAGTACAGATAGCGGTAGAATCAGCTGAGGAGGATTTCGGACTGCACAAGCGATGCGCAAGCTAACATTAAGGGGTGTAGTTTTATTGCAGATGCAATAAACAAATCAAAAAGAATGTGTATCCGCTAAGGTAATGAATCATCAAGGGAATGAGACAGTTATGAAAGATTGTTCGATAAAATTCCTACGAAATACTATCAGACTTTTCATGAAATTCCGCGGATTTTCCCCACATTACATCCATTGATTAGCACGAGCCCATATTTGCTCATTGAATGATTTTTGTATAGTATGGTAGATTTCAGTCTTTATTTGATTGAACTTGATCACTTACATAAAACCAGAAAAGGGTAGACATTTCAGCATCGCGCTAACAAATAACGATAATTAACACGATTACTCTCTATTACATATTATTAAATTAAGACAACAGTGAGATGTGCTCAGTATTAATATTTCTACTGCTTAATTCAATTTAAAGTAGCCAGGAGAAATAATATTGTTAATTTCCAGTATTAAAAAAAAACAAGTGGTCAACACTACCTCAATACTTGACATATCGATTTTCTTGTCTTCATTTTGCAAGTTCAACAGATTGTTAGTTGTTGTTTTCAAATCCATCAGTCGTGCATTGAACGACTGCCACATTTGGTAACGGTTGAACCAATCACTGTTAATTCAGTTAGAAATCAATAAATTTTGTTATTATTATATAAATATTTTTCTTGTTCAATAAAACGTAGCAATATTTATTAGACTGTAATTACTCGAAGAAATTTTTTTCACAGGATTATATATATATATATAAATACTTTCTTTGACGCTTCAGAACGAAACTTTTTCTGGATGTTAGAACTGGGGAAAAAAACTTTGCCGTAAGTAAACTCTTTACAAACTTAATAAAAAGAAGACAAATACTTCAGTTTTAAGTATTTCAGAAGTGTGTCTGCACTTTACATTTTATCGACTAAGAAGAGTTGAAGATGCGCTTTGAAGAACCATTTTTTTTCTTCATTAGCTGTTTCATTAAATACTTAAATCATTGTAACTTTTCACTACACGAAATATATTTACTGCAGAAAATTAGATAATCAGAAATAATTAGAAGCAGATATTACGGATGGGATTATTGTAACTGCTTAACACTGGAGGGAAATTACTAGGTTAGATCAAAGTCGTCTTCGTTGCTCACTAGTAGCAAAGTGCTTTTATCAAGTATATATATATATATATGTATTTCTTGTAAGGTTAAGTGAAACTAATTTCTGTCCCAATCACAGTTCATCAGCTAGAAACACACAGAGACCACTAAGTTTATCTAGATTTGTTGCAGGATTTCATCATAAGCTGACATCAGTTAGAGAACCATTTGAAAACCTGCAGGGAGTACTTTTCCGTCCTAGTTTGAGACTCTTCAGCAACACGCATCCACGGGGTTTCGAACCCAGGACCTTCTGGTTAAAAGGCGCGCTCGAGGACCATTAAGCTATTGGAGCCTGATCAAATGTGCCATGAATTCTAACTTCTGCCAATTCATAACATTGCATGACCTCTTCTCAATGTCTTCTTCGATGAGTTACTGCCTCACCTTCAACCTGCTGTACCCTACTGGTCACAGTTTCTCACTATAACCCCAGATAACTGTCTGAACAAGGCTAGTCACTGGTCAGCATCAGATCAATTTTCAGGGACTGCTTTGCAGGGATTTTGTGTAATTGGTTATCCAGATTTCATAAAATATCCGGTGATATGAAAAAAGAAAAGCACTCAAGAAGATAATCACTGAGATAAACTACTGAAAATATATATCTCTGTGAAGAAAATGCTACCAATCAGTTCATTTTTGAAGGGATTAGAAGATGTTAACTTCCCTCCCTTAGTGTATTCTGAAGTATGGTTTGCAACTGGACAAAACGATTTTCGCTAATTGGAAGAAGTTTAAAATATGCTGTCTCGATAAATGGTAAGCTTACTGTTCACTTTATCTCAGTCATATATCGGTGCAGTCTCAAAGACGAATATATGCCTGCACAAGTTCTGAAAGCAGATGGACTATTGTACAGTTAATCATATACTAAAACGATTTTTTACACTTCACTACTCTCGGCATTTGTTGAGGGTCTGGGGATAGAATGGATATCAGTGTAGAGTAAAACAACTGTCAAGTCATTGATTAAACTTCACAAAAAGTTAGGATCTTGTAAGGATTTACAGAAATAAAATTATAGTAATAATATCATTTTCATCATTTCATCTTTCGTCTATTTTCAGTCGAGATATCTAGCACTGTGCTATGAAATGTTGGTTTTTATTATTTAAAGATTCAATTTTATGAACTGAATAACAACCTCGTAGAATAAAACAGGATCAAAATTAAATAACGTTCTGTTTGTAACTACCTGCTCTAACATTTATAGGTTCACACAGATACGCCGATCTGAGGACAATTCAGTCTATATACTACTGATTGATTGTGATGAGTAGTTGTACAGTACTCATATTAACCAGTGGTGCTTGAAAACCATATCGAGTTGATCTAAACACTAGACGGCCGTTTCGCTCGTTTGAGGTCAGGCTCGTCAACAGTATACCTGATTTGACTCAGGCTAGAGAGCTGAACCATTTCAAACCCCCGATTTCCGGTTGTCTACTTGGGCGAACTGGTAACAACGGCAGTCCGGTGATTAGATCACTTATACTGATTAGCAGGCGCTATTGGTTAATGTGAGCAGTGTACAACTAATCATCTCAACTAATAGGGGGTAGATAGACTGAAGTATTCTTTAGGCTATAGTGATATAAATCAATATGAATACATCACACAAAAGCTAAACACTTCTGCTTTAACTAAAGTCTAAGTAAAACAAATCAGTCTATTTAAAATTCATGGAAATTTCTTCCTCCCTGTCTGGAAAAGTGACACACACTTCTGAAACTTACTTTCTGTTTAATTCGTATTCTTTTATATAACCATCCAGTCTACTTTTTTGAGTTGACAGTAAAACTTTAAGCCAAACCATTTCATCATTATCTTGTACACTGACATTAGCATCACCTTGGCACAGCGGATCATCTTGACTTTTTCCCTTCACAGACTGTACCTCATTGTCATTAATCTCCTTGAGAATTCTTGCTGAGTCTGTCAACGATTTACTACAAGCATGTAGTTCACCTTCCAAAGTCTGCAAAACGGGAGAGAAATTCCAGTTGATTGGTTTATAGATATACAATATCAAACAAGCAGGAATTTACAAATTTCTTTATGTAAAAGTCATTTCTTTGTTGTGTAACACATTGAGAAAATGTATTCAACCTGTCTATCTGAATTCTATTTTAAGCAGTGAGTCACTAGATAAAACTGCCTTAAGAACATGCCATTCACAGAATACATGCGTGTACCGTATTTGACATTTTGTCATCGGTTACTGGTAATATGGAAGGCGTCTACTCTATTAAAACGGCTGTTGACGAAATTTCAGCATGGATTTATCTTCAGATGTCCTGTGAACTATACCACACAGACATTTAGTTGTTTCTATAGTACTGGTAAGGTGTGACAGTAATGTGCATAGCTTCAGTCAGCGGTCACGGCCCCGAGTACAATTAGTGTAGCAAATAAATGAAATGCTCAAATAATTGTTTAGCAAAGAACACAAAGAATTAGCTTATACCGATAATAATATTAATAAACAATGCCAAAAATCAGAATCGAGTCACCTGATGGTTTTTCTGAAGAAATGTTTATTTCGAATTAACTTCTTCCACAGTTCTGTTTGTTTTTTAATAATTTTAATTAGAAATTTACACAGAAGTTTGTTTTTCTGCTTATGCTTACCTAATAAATAACTCCGTGAAGTCGAGTGGAAATCGTTCAGAAATATTCTCTAACTTAATTACGCTTAACAATTTTAATAGCAAGTATTAGTTAGTATGAAGTGCCCTTGTAACGAGTTTTTCCAAAGAATGAAAAAAATATGTTATTTTTAAAAATTCAAACTATATAGCTTTATTAATTCTTTCATCAGATATATTACTCTGGGGAAAAGCACATATATGCCATGCTGACTGGATAAACTCGGCTTTTGTTATAAACTGTTTGCCGTTACAAATGCACTCATGATACTGTGAAACATTTCAGAAGACACAAAATATTCACTGGTAAAAACGAAATTTTAGTATTCTAACAGTCTGATTAACGTATTCAGTTTCTTTCGGTTAAGAAATGTCTTTCTACGTTCGGTTGACTCTACTAAGTAAGTTTGTTGACTGTCCGTCCAAACACAGCAACACTGCAGATATTTTAAATCCTTTCCTCTTACTGTCACCAATAAAAAGATTATTGACAATAACTGCTAGTATTTTTGTATTTTTTTGTTTTTTGTTTTTCAGCACTAGTCTGAGAAAAAAATAATTAGAGATAAAATGAATTCCTTTGGCACTATGTATACGCTTTGCTGATGTTTAGCAGAAGTTTCAGGAAAGGTATGTGTTTATTCCTTTTAGCCTTCTGTTAACATCTAACATCAAAGGTAAACTTGACCAGCACTTCTGAAAAAAATATTTTAGGTCATGTAAACAAAGAGTTCGAGTATATTAACAAGTTGTATTTCTGCAAGACATTTTGAACAATCTCATCATACACGAAATGTGTTGCGCTTAGTGGTTAGGACGCTCGCCACCCATGCACATGGTCCGGGGTTCGATCCCCGGCTGACGCACTCCTTTACCTCGCTAAGTCAGAAATGATGTTGGTGAAGAGGAAAGGTTGGGCAGGAGGCTAGCAACCTCATCCTGTAAAATAAACACTGCTAGAGAAACTTCGAGCCAATAGCTTGAAGCCCTGTGTTCCACTGGGGAACGTGAAGGAAAAAAATTGCTTTGCCTAAATTCATAAAGGGAACTAATTATTTTAAAGTTGTATTTCGCTGGAAATCAGCGAAATCCAGAGAACCAGTGAACATGAGAGGGCATTGAACATCTCTTTTGTATCAGTGTAGCAGCTTGTGGCAGTGCGAACAACAGAACCACCAAGGTTCTAACGTATAACAGTCAGGTTGCGAGGGGAACACTTTACAGTTCTGCTAGTGGATTGCAATCCAACGGCCCATAGGTCCTAACTTCAATTATTCTATAATAGATGGAAGTGTAAGTGATACCGGAAGACCTTAAACAGATTAGCGCCAACCAGTCGTCATTTAAAAGTGGTCATTTTAACAGCTTGATGAATTGTAATCTTTTGTTTTCAGATTAAAAAATGAAAAGGCCTACATTAGGATTCAAAATTTTGTATGCTAATTCATTCGTTTGAATTTATCCAATAGAAATCATCTTACATCCATATTTGCACCAATCTGTGAAGTCAAAGCATCACGACACCGACCCAAATCATTCTGTATACAATTCAATAACCGATTGGTACATTGTAATTGTTTTTCATAGGCATTTAATAGGGTTTCATCGAACACATGGTCGCCAGTGATGAATTTATTTTTTAAATCAGTTAGACTCATGTCTACACCATCACTATTGTTGTTGTGTTTTAATCGTTCTCTATCTGCTGTCAATCGCCAACCATATTTCTTCTCCAGTTCATTAATAATTTCTAAGCACTGACCATACAGATCAGTTGTTGGAGTTTTCTATATAAAACAAGCAAAAGATAAAAAGTATATATATATATTCAGGAAAATGAATACTTGATTCTATTAAACATCCAAAATAATATGGGAAAGACTGTTTCACTTTATACTAGCAAACCTGTAAAAGCAATTTGGTGGTATAAACAAAGGAAGAGTTTTTACATACTATATATGAATTCTAAGAACTTTCGGCTAAAATCGGTATTTTGCAGGAGCTTTCTAACATTCTACATCGTTTGTTTGAATGAGAAGTACTCATGATGACACATCCATTAAACCTATTGCAAAAATCTCAACGAAAATCTATTCTTTCATTGGGTTAGCGCTTTAAACTTACTGGAATTCGGAAAATCTGTAATGTTTACACACATCTAGTAATCATCAGTGCTGACATTGTTTATTGTAGATTCTTTGCAAAGACAATTTCGGTTTTCCTGTAGGTTGATTATATTGGACTTAAATGGTGAGCCTTCACTGACATTTCGGTTCCTAGTACGGACGCTTGGTTGAGGTCTGAGGATTAACATGAAGTATTTTGGTGGATGGGGAGTAGGAGTAGAATTTAGGATGTTCATTTCGTACTATTTGGAACTTGTCAGCTGAATGTGCCTGGAGTCCCTAGTGAGTGCTGGAGTTCCTATTTAAACTCGAACCCAGTAACCTTCGTTTTCAATTCCAACAGAGGCCGAACATTTCGGTCCAATCGACCAATGGGGAAATCAAAATTGACTTGTAACTGATGCCCATTGCACGAGAGGTGATTCCTGTATCCCAAGTGGTCTAATGAAAAGCATTTTGGCGTTCGAAACACTGGTTACTGGGTTAGAGTCTCATTGAAAACACCACCAATTACTAGGGATTGCAGGTACATTCAACTGACGGGTCTAAAATAGGATGAAATGCACATCGTGGATCCCACTGCCAGTCATCATCCACCAAACTAATCCATAAGCTATTGGTTGAGTATCTTAGCATCTCATTAGTTATGTTTTCTAAACTGATATTACATAAAATATTGTGCACTGTCATGAATACTTTCGTATATTTTCGGAGGACGATAACAGATCATTGGAGAAAACACTGTGTTGTCAGAATCATGTTATATATGAGTGAGATTACTGTGAATAGTATTCATAACTTCCACACCAACAGGATGAATTCTAGTTTTGAAAGTGACAACAAGTATAAAACTGTTAATAAAACATCCTGTTGATGGCACTGAAACACTTAGAGATATGGATGCTACTAGTATTCGCCTCTCGAACCCAAGTTAGAATATTACCACACCTTGTGTGATTCATGTTTTTTCATGTATAGCAGCAATTGGAAAGCATTCAGGGTATCACTTAGTGTTAGACACAGGAAATTTTTCCAGTGTGAAAAAGGAATAAAACTCTCCCTTTCAATCCAGACATGTTGCTAAGTCATCCAAAAGACATGGAATTATGAGTGAACTAGTATTTGCATACATTTATTCTTATTTGAATAGCCCAGCCCAGTCTAACCAGGTCATTAGGCTGACTCCATATAGTTCACGATAATTTAGTCTACGTGAAACTCAAAAAATTTGTAAACGCATACGGCACTATGAAATTTTATAAAGCATTGTAGCATGGAATTAATTTTATTTCCTTTCGTGTGGCATGAATCTCTCAAATAAACACTTATGTTGTCTTCATTTTACCAATGAGTTTGCATTTTGCACCCTAAAGAAGTAAAATTTACACAAAAATTGTGTAGTCAGTGTGTGGAGCACAATAGAGGAAGTGAATTCGATTTCAACCACAGAATTAGTGGTTTTTGCTGAAAACAATTATGCAGGAAATTAATTGTATAAAACTTTTCGGTTTGGTAGAATGCTCACCGACCACGTAGGAAGTCCGGGTTTTGATTCCCGGAGAACGTAGTCCTAATTATCGTCTTGTTTCCTAGGCAGTAGTAAGCACGCAAAAGAGGAAAGGTTGGGTAAACCCATTTCGTAAAAAAAAGAACAATACGACTAGTGAAACTCTCAAGACTTGAAGCTCCAAGTTGCACTCGGAACGCAAACAATGGAATCAAACATGCTGATAAAATAAGCGTCTTCGCTAGTGAATTGACTGCATCAATTGGTGGCATATACCGTCAACATACTTCTGATTTTTAGGCAATATAAGACTGTTTGAAACAAATGAAACAAAACTAAAGATTTAACTTTATTAAAAGAATTAACGCTTAAATATTGTCACCTACCGCATAATCAATAAATAGTTGCTGAATCATACTGAGCTGTTTCTCCAATAAAGTCATTTCCTCAAATTTTTTACTGAATTTTTCATTTGTTTCATACCATAAGCTCTGATTATACACAAATGTTTAGAAAAAAGAGACCAATTATGATGAAAATACTAAATTAATACAACATTTTTGAGCACAACAAAAATGGGTTAGTAGTTAAAGCGTTTACCTATTCACGCAGCAATGGAAAGTCTTAGACTAGTGAGAAATTGAGTTCAGTAAGCACGATGAGTTGGGTGTTTCGATGATGGGTCTTAAAATACAAGAAAAATAATATCCATCCTATCTGGATGGAAGATCATCAAAGAATGAGTTTGCAGTAAGAAGTACTGACTCCTTTGCAGGTATGTCTTATAGAAAAGCTCGTATCCAATCAAGCAGTCTCTGTCTTGTCTACCACCACAAGAGAGTACTGACAATTTACTGGATCAATTATGAAATAAAACTCTAAGATATTTCACTAAGAAGTAAGTGTAAATACAAAGAAATACGGATATTTGAGCATTCATAGATTTCATGACATATGTTGTCAGTTTCAACAACAGATGGAACGTATACAGATGTCACACCTAGCCAGGATTGGGAAAGCAAGACAGGTATTTATTACTCTGATGTCAGCGTAGCGATCTTAAACACTTAGTACAGGAAATAATGATTTTAATTCTTAGCATTCATATCAAGTCAGTGCTTATTTGTCATTGTGAAACTTGGCACGCGTACCACCAAAATCACTTCCAACACTCTACAGACTTTCATCAACATGTGTGTGCACCCGGTACTGAAGATCAGATGGCCGTCCAGGTTGCGCCAGGCCCTTGAATGGAACACACATGGAAAGCGGTGGGTTAGTCGTTTGATGGTGAGAGAAAGAAGATTATATGAGGAAGAAGTGAGAGCTTGTGGACAACCGTCAAGGCAACTGAAAGTGATGACAGAGAACTGAAAGTCACTGAAATATTCCATTTAACCCGTATTTTTCGCTTGGAACGCAAGAAATGAAAATAGTAGTAATAATAATGAGGCGGATTTTAATTCCTATCCGAAATTTTTTTATCACCTTCATTTTTAGAGTAGTTTTGCGTCGTATCAATCAGCCCACGTAAACAGAGAAGGAGGAAAGAATGGGATTGAGTCCGGGAAGTGCCAATAAGCATAAGATTTCCATTTGGCATACATTTTGCCTTTTAACATTTAACTGCTACTGGATGAGGCACACACATGGAACATGTGTGTGTATGAATGTCTGATGGCAACAACTTACAGCTTTTACCAACGATAAAAGCATTCAATGTACCTTAAATCTTTTTAAAGTGAAGACGAATGTCCGAAGTTCAAAAACTTGACAGAAAACGGTGGTAATATCGAAGAGGTCAGAGAGGGAGAGAAAAAGTAAAAGTCTCTTCAGTCTAAATTACTTTAGTGTTAATAATAACTAGACAGAAGAAATTCTACTGTTGTTACTTAAATTCATAATCATTATGGACTGCAAGTGCACTCTTTGAAAATATGCAGAGTGAGTTAACCAGTGTTATCAGTAAAGAGCACTAATAAACAACATGGCCAGTGACATGTATTACTGATTAAATCGGTTTAACTACTGTGATTTTAAATACTTTCAATTTAAGTGAACATTGTAAACTGTCATGATGTAAGAGAATCCATGACAGCAGACTAAAGTACTAAAACTTTTTACAGGTAAATACAGTTTCATCACTAGGTGACATTTGTTTAGCACAAAACCTCAACGTCAGAAGTCTGATAAAATTTTACGATAAATGTCTCTATTAGTTGTTTCCGTGGAAAGTAGCTTTCATATTCTTACGAAACCTAGCAGTTAGTGGAGGTGAAATTATTTCCCTCATCCAGAAAAGCAGACACACATGCACACACATGAAAAAAGCTTACCTGCAGATTCAACAAATCTTCAAGTCGATCAGACGAATCACTGTTACCACATGTGACAATCAAATCCCTTAATCGTGTTTCTAGGTATAATCTTTGTTGGGCAAATAACTGACGCAGATAACGATGCAGTGTAAAGTAAACAGAGATAAAAGAAAACAGAAAGTAAAACCACCTATTAAAACAATATTAAAACAACCCCGAGAATCACGCTTAGAAAATATGATGAATTAATAACTACAAAGAGGAAGATAGCGGAAAAGAAAAACCAAATGACATAAACTAAAATTTTAACAATAGATAGTAGGAGAACACCTTTTACATTTTACACCACAGTATTTATTTATATGTACTATTTATATGGTATATACATATATATGTAAATATATTTATATGCGTATACATGTAGGCAAAAGGGCGATAAAAATAAATCTTTATAGTTATACTACGTATATGTGTATATATATTTGTAGCAGATATTCCAATCAAGAGTCATATGCCAACGCAATCACACCAAAAAACAGTATGAGCGAAAAAATTATGCGATGCAATCTATAGTACTGATAACAGTCAAAAGTAGTTAAGCTAAATAATCAGCAGTTTTGAAAGAAAACAGAAAGTTGAAGAATGATTTTGCAGGCAGTATAGGTTTATATTGAAACTTGACATATAAATTGTCTTTAAACATATAATTATACTATAAATACATTTACAGATATATGTATACATATGTGTGTCTATACCGCCACTAGCAGCTAATGCTTAGACAGATATTCTGATCAGCTGAACAAATCAAACGAGACACAAATAAACTATTTTACTATATTTATACGGCCATTACAGTTAATGTTTTTACCAGTCTCGAGGACCAAACTGAACCATAGCATAAACGTGTATCCAACTGCTGTGAACTCCACAAATGTATAAATATCTATCAACAACTGTATTTACTAAGTTGCAAGAATGCAATAATGACCATGAGATTAACTTCCATTTCATTTAGAATGTGACAGTCAATCTAATATAATTAATGAAAAATGATGGATACCTTGTAGAGTATCTAGGTGATTCTCTTGAAGTTTTGAGTACAGTGCATTTTCTTTCAGACTCGTCCCACCAGTTTTCCTCTATGAATATGAGGCGTATGGACAGAATCGTCAACATCCCTATGAAACAGTCACTGTATCATTAGACAGTGTACTGGTTATTTATTCATGTAGGGCCAATAAAATAGATACACTGTAGCTATTCTCACTTCAACCGTTTCACATAAAGTAGTTAAGACGGTTGCAAAATGAGGGTAGAGGAATTTAACTTATCCAGAGACACGTTATCTCATCTAGTTCAAATGAAATTAAAACGAAGTTAAGTGTTTTTGATTTTTGAGAAGAACAATTCAACAATTAAGGCTTCAGTTATCTCATAGAAGTGAGTTGACCAACGTGTCATTGGAACCTTTATACGAAAATGCCAGTGAAAAGTAGGCGATAACCATAATCTCCAAAGGAATGCTGTTAAGCTGCTGTTACCATAAAGTTCATCTGTATTGTACACTTAACGGTAACAAATACGTTTAGCGTTTTCACTGGCAATTAATAGTGCCTTAGCTTCCTTCATATCACAACTGTATTTCGATGTTGAATTGAATTATTTTTAAGTTTTTCTGTAACTCACACTTTCAGTTGATCAAACAAGGCTGCCATGAGTGATCTTATTAACTGCTGTTAGTGAAGCAGAAGTATCTGCATGAATTACATTGTCACACTGTATGCGTTTTGAAAATGAGAATCAGACTAAACCGTCACTGACAGTTTCCCGTCTACCAGAGGATTTCTGAAATACAATATAAATTACAAGTATTATTCTTTAAGTTAATTTGCATTTTCAGACGACAGATTACACTGGATTTAGATGCTGACATGTCCACTCCTAGTACGGATGCTTTGATGATGCCTGAAAATTATTATGACATTATCATCTTAAAAAACAATAACTGATAACTATTACACAAGTGGCCTAGTGGATAACGTTTTGACTTTTGAAACGATGGCTTCTGAGTTCTGTCCTTAGTGGAAACATCATCACTCATTAGGGGGGCATCTACGTATAGGTGATGAGTCCTGAATAGGACGAAGAAATGTGCTTCCTGGGTTCTGCTGCTTTTCACCACTAAGCAAAACAGATTCGAGGCGTTTATGAAGGTTTCCATTGATAAATTCACCTACTAATTTCACCGAGTCTACGATGATTGGTTCAGTTTTGTGTATGTTTTGTGAAAAAATATTTTTTATGCAGAGATTTCATTTGTTTATAAGTTTGCCAAAAACATTTTTGGCTTACAAACAGTGTCCTTCAAGGACGTGTTACCGTTTTTAACACTTTCAAACACCGATATAAGAATAAAACTTGTGCACTGTGGTAGAGTGTAATTCCATTATGGGTAAATTTTTTTTTTGATAAAGTCTCACAGTGTTATATAAATGAATTTAGGAAGTCGTGTGATTACCTTGATATGATTACGAGCTATAAATTGTGCTCAAAACGTCATCAGTAAATATTACTGTATAACACTGTGAGATTTTATCAAAATAAAATTTATCCATTATGGAACTTTCAAACACCCTTTGTACCTTCGTGACAATCAACTGTTTGCGAAGAATTTAATCAGTTTTATACATAGTTATACTGTCATTCAAGTTGACTATTTTAACGGAAGTTAGGAAGTCCGGACGACTGAACTTGAGTCAAGCGGATGGATTTTGATGCTCAATCGTTTCAATACTTAATATACAAATGCCAGTGAACCTTATGTACTTAGTGACATTCTGAGGTTATTCGTAGAACGGCAGATACAACCTTTCTCTGTGAGCTTAGTGGTTCTTGCTCGCAACCGGTTATACGACAGGATAAAGTGATTGCTAAAGATATTTACATGCAATTTTTCCCGACTTGCCTGTTGTATAATGTAATGAGGATGCTGATAAATAAGGCTGTGACACCATCATTTTAAATTACAGTGCTATTCCATCCTATGAATACCTATGATCAAATTTCCACATCGATTTATTAGCATAACAAGATAGCTAGACTAATACAGCTAGCTGTACAAAAAAGAATAATCAAACAGACATATAAACGGTGGACAGTGTATGCCTAATGTTATTTTAATTTAATTACCCACTATCGACCATTTCCTACACTAAAATACTGGTCCTAACGACAACAGTAATAATAATGACTATTATTATTGTTATAATTATCAATATTATCATAAATAACCACAGACAATGCCAAACTGGAGCAGAACTAAAAAAATCACACGACCAGAACTCAGAACTAAAATCACAACATTTCGAAAATAAACAAAAAAGAAACATATAGGCTGACACACACAGAGCGCGCGCAGACAGGAAAAGTATAATAAATAGCTGCAGAGCTCCGTTATACAATATGTACAAAAAAAGATATCTAGATATATATAAATTTAAACAGATTCACAGGTGGAGGGAGAAAAACAAACATTCCTTCCACCTCATGGACATTGTATCGATCTTCCGCGGTTTGCAAACAGACACACACACACACACACACGCATATATACGCCTACAGACAAACACTCACTTACAGATTGTGTAAATTTGAAATACGTCTGGTAGAAATAGAATAAATCAATCAATATTTATGTGAAAACATTTCCATAGAGATTTTAAACATACAGAATAAGACTACCTACAGTACTTACTATAGAGAAAACAGTGAAAACCACTGAAATTCAATATCTGAATGACAGCAAAGTGATAGTATTGTGCATTAGAATTCAAAGTCTTAACAAGCTAGGTCACTGACTAACTTACCAGTATGAAGGATAGGTGAATGGATGAGAATGATCAATAAGGAAGTAGAACTAGTCCAGACCCTAGTCAAATATATTCATGATTTCTCTGGTTTGTAGAAAGATACTGATCGCAGTGGAGGTTGAAAAACTTTTATTTTAATTAACTTCGCATTTGGCAGTATGTTGTGATAAGACTGAGTACTGACGTACACCATTCAACTGACAGAATGTGTAAACATGCCTCAGGAAGATGTGACACATTAAGCTACGTTTAATTACCATTTTAAAGCCATTTATAAACAAACAACTAATTTATAAACAGGTGAATTGTCTAGATTAATTCACATTTCACGTTGATTGAAAATATCGGACAGAAATGCTCTTTCAATACCAATGCAGTCCAGGAATCTCATTTCGTTCTATTTTGGACTAGTCAAAATTGATGTATCTGCATTCAGTAGATGGTCTTCCCACTGAGATTAGAACCGAGTGACCACCCAGCTTTGACGTTTGAAATGGTGGGTGGTGGGTTCGAGTCTCAGTGGGCACGTCCAACAGACAAGTACTAAATAAGATGACATGCACAGCCTAGATCACATCGGTAGTCACCAATAACGAAATTGTAATAAGCCTTATCTAATGGTCTTAAATGGTTACTTCAAGATGATTTTTCTATAAATATTTCGTATCAGATCTCGTAGAAGAAATTAAGAACACGCTGAAGTGTGTGTGTAAAAATGTTCTGAAAGAGTGTTCATATTGTTTCGATCATTTAAGATGTATTTTGTGACTCTTCTTTTATAAACCATTACAGTAGACATTTTCTTAAATAGCGTCTGCTTTTGGCATTTAAAACTAATCTAGATGAAAAACCAGGATTTCACAGATTTCTTGAGCTTAAACAGCTACTGTGAAATTCGCTCTGTGGTCCACAAGAAGCTGCTAAATACAAAAATCAAAGTGGTAGTCATCGTGCTTCATAGAGCGAAAAACTGATTTTACCACGATAGTGACGACTGTGAAATAGCCTGTAATAAATCAACTTTCATAAAAACAATTAACAGTACATCAATCCCAAATGGGCTACATTCTCCACCTACCTGTAACAAGGTTTTTCTTTCAGATATTGACGTTTCTAAGATAACCTTCTGTGATGAAAAATACTCATCATTTGTGTCTGAAGGCAATTGCATACTGGATCCCAAACAATAATGATTAAAACTCAAGATTCCATTGAAATGTATGCGTATTTCACAGGCTAAATTTCTTACTGTTGAGGATATTTGGCTGTCAGATTTCAGAAGATTATCAGTTAATCGATTAATTGATAACAAGTTATCATGTGAAGATTTCTTCAGCATAGCGTCTGAGTAGACTTCAATCTGAAGGTAGAAAATAAAGGCAAGAAAGAAAATATTTGTCATAGATAATTTTTGCTTTCCACTATTCTGAAAGTTATATGTTTACAGAAATTAGGAGGTGAAATGTCGCTTATTCCCCGGTGATACATTGAATTATTGATATTCTGAGTCGTGCATTTGCTTTTCTCAATTTATCCCGCAGGACTTTCATACACATGTCACTTGAACTCATGCCTTCGTTCCTTAACAATGCAACGCAACTGATGCAATCTTACAAATAGAAAGGATTCTTTTAATTTCAAAGGCTTAACTTTTAGAACAAAATATTTAGAGCGAACAATTGTTTTCAATAAATTCTTCTTCAGGCTCTACAATTATAAATCCATTAGTTTAAGCATAAAATAGCTAGCCAGTAAAGGCAAATTGGAATCATATCAGAAAGTGTATTATGGAACAAGTATAAGATGGGATGGAACAATAGTCAGTTAGTTTTTTAATATGCATGATCAATGAGAACATGGGACAAAATGAGATGAAGTAATTTCTTCTTCTTCTTCTATTCCTCTGTTTCACTGACAAACGTTCATTTTCGACTTTTATGATTTCATGACCTTCCTTATGATTTTATTACCTTAGATTTAAGTAGTGCTTTTCTAACTTGTTATCGTATTTACAAAATCCTGTTCATTCCACTTCATTATGTTCATTATTATTATTTGACAATCGTCCACCAATAGTCCATGTAATTTTACACCCTATCATAGTTATTATTTTACCTTCATTCTTATTGTCGTTATTTTCAACCTTGAACTTATGTCTAGACCACCCCATTCGTTGGTTTATTTTCATATTGTCTCATATACCCTGATTACACTCACTCTCGAAACCTGTATTTTCTATTCACTATATTTATATATATATACACATATATAAACACACATCATTAAATTAAATTACTTCATCTCATTTTGTCCCATGTTCTCATTGATCATGCACATTAAAAAACTAACTGACTATTGTTCCATCCCATCTTATACTTGTTCCATAATACACTTTCTGATATGATTCCAATTTGCCTTTACTGGCTAGCTATTTTATGCTTAAACTAATGGATTTATAATTGTAGAGCCTGAAGAAGAATTTATTGAAAACAATTGTTCACTTTAAATATTTTGTTATGAATAAATTATGGGAATATTCAATTTGCTTAACTTTTAATTAACTGCATAGAAGGTATTGTGGAAATTACTTCTATTTTCAACCAGATTAGTCATTTATAAAAATTTAGTTTAATACTCACTGAAATCGGTCCGTTAATCACACTTGGGACACAAGGTACGTTATTATTATTATTATATTATTATTGTTTCCTTTAATTCCTAGAGGAACATATGGCTTCAGCCGTGCGTCTCCATTGCCTTCGGTTCTCTGCTAGAGTCTTCACCTGGCTCCAAGTCTGCCCACACATTTTCATCTCCTCTTCACATGACCTCCTCCAAGTCACCCTCGCACTGACGACCAACTCGCCGCTTCCCTTTCGGATTCCACTCAAGGGCTTGTCTAGTGATGTCACCTGATGGTTTCCTAAGAGTATGGCCAATCCATCTCCATTTCCTTCTGCATATTTGTTTCACAATCGGTTCCTGGTTGGTTCGCTCCCAGAGATCCCTGTTGCTGATCTTTTCTGGCCATCTGATCTTGACTATTGAGCGAAGACAACTGTTAATGAAGGTCTGTAGTTTGTTCGAGGGGCCCTTTATGACGCGCTGGCCAAGTCCCTGATCCGTATAGTAGCACTGACTTCACATTGGAGTTGAAAATCCGGATCTTATTTTTGATGCTGAGTGTTGTTGACCTCCACACAGACTTGAGAGTAGTGATAGCTTGTTTTGCTTTTCCGATTCTTGCTTTGATATCCTCGTCAGTTCCGCCTGTAGTTGAAACGATGCTTCCCAGGTAGGTAAAAGAGGTTGTTTCTTTCAGGTTCCTCCCATTTATGCTGATTGTTGTCAGTTGTTGTTGTTGCTGTGGTGTTGTTGCCCAGGAATCTTCATCACCTCTGTTTTCTCTGTGTTCACCTGAAGTCCTATCTTTGATGCTTAATCTATGCCAACTTGTTGCTTTTCGCTTGCATATCTTCCAGTTTGTGGGAAATCAGACATATATCATCGGCGAAGTCAAGATCCTACAAGGTTTTTGTGTGAGTCCATTTTATGCCTGTTTCCTCATTGCTCGCTGTTTGTCGCATTATCCAGTCTACTGCAATCAGGAAAGTCATTGACAATAGTAGGCAGCCAGGTTGTCTTACTCCTGTCCTCACTTCGAAGGATTCCGTAAGTTTCCCGTTGTGGATTACTTGGCATGCAGCATTGTCGTACAGCTGTTGGATGAGATGTATACTTGTCGGTGGCACCCTGTAGTAGCGAAGTAGTTGCCAAATCACTTCTCGATCGACGCTGTTGAAGGCCTTTTCAAAGTCGATGAAGTTGAGATAGAGAGGTGACTGCCATTCCAAGCTTTGTTCAATGATGATCCGTAGTGTGGCGATTTGATCAATACATGACTTGTTTCTCCTGAATCCAGCCTGTTCCGGTTGAAGTTTTTCACCCAGGGCTTGTTTGATTTTCTCCAGGATGATGCGGCTTAGTATTTTGCTTGGGATGGACAGGAGCATAATTCCACACCAGTTCTTGCATTGACTTAAGTCTCCTTTCTTTGGTAGTTTGAATAAGTATCCTTTCTTCCAATCCTCGTGTACGTTACATGAACAAAATACGCGTGAGTATATAAAAAATCACCAGAACAAATTTATCCCGCCGTTTCCACGCTTTATATAGAATAGAGTAGAGACGGTGAATAACAGCTTGGATTTCCTCAGGCATTAATTATTGTGCACAGTCTAATGTGCTTTAATATTATATGTTTAGTAGAATACCGTCATCATTTCAAATGTTACGTCCGGCAGTTTTAAAGGTGTTTCGTCTATTGCTTACGCAACTGTTGTACTGCTTTCAAGTATTGGTTTGTAGGGATTCCATTGACTGGTTACAGGATTTCATCATGAGCTGACATTGGTTAGAGAACTGTTTGATATACTTTGTTCGAAAACACCTCACCTCACTGCTAAACGTCAGCTAGCCATTTTAAAAATATACTTTTTGACTGTATTAATTGACACAGTTCAAATTAGTAACGTTGATAAAAACAAATGTTAATTTGCTTCTTAAATGTGCAGATATACTGTAATACGCTGTACAGCTTTCGTATTCCCTCCAATTTATAGAGGAGATCTGACATCATACACCTCAATAGGATAGATGACATTTGAAATGTTTTATTCAAATCCACTTAATAAATGCTTCCGATTAGTAACCTAAACATTAAAAAGGTATCTCTCTTCCTAAATCGCATGTCTGCGAAAACGTGATGCCTGTGAAACACTCATAGACATAAACATACTCATTTTGATACTTACCGAGAGTTTATCAATAAATTCCGGTGTAGACATATCTCTCAATTTCAGCTGATTTGTTGTACTAGTGTCAAATAGTTCATCTTGTTTTGTGTCTTTTTCTGCTTCTTCTATTTGTGATTGAAAGATTTCTTTAGCCATAATAACTTTATGCAAATGATCTTCAATTTCATTGAACAAATCAACAGTTAATTCTGGTTTATCTGCTGGCGTCAATGATCGTAGTTTACTTGCTACTTGTCTAATTTGCCAGACTGTACCATTCTCTTGGCACAATCGTGTTAATTTCATATAAATTTTCTAAAGTAAAATAGAAGCATTCAACTGAAACTGTATGTGCGCGTTAAGACAACATTCAGTAATTAAACAGAATTATTGAACACCGATGGAGAGCTGTTTAGTCTTAAATTAGTAGGATGTCTACGATTCTCTTAATCAGGAATACAAACAGATATCTGCTTACAAGTTGTGACGAAAATGAATTAGCTGTAATTTTAGGACTGTTGTTAATATTATTGAGTAGCATGATATTCGAGCAGCATTATCCACCGTAAGGTCGATTTTAACGTATTTGTATGCTGATGTATTCGTCCATAGAACATGCTCCGGAACACAATGCGCACGATGACAGCATTCAAATGTTCGGTAACAGAACATCTCGTCAACTCAAGACACTCGATTCCATTTCAGAAGTCCTGAAAACTCGCATACAAGATCCGATCAAAACTCTTAAAGAGAGTGAGATGAAGATATCTCAAGCACTAGTGACCCGAAAATTCAAGCCAGTACTATATATCCAAAAGAAGTACGCTCACCTTTGGCCCTTACCATTGTCATCATAAACAGTGTATTTACTCAGAAGAACCATTATTATTTGAATGTGTTGTTTATTGGAACTTCCTGTTTATTTTTATTTTTAATTGCCTATTTGTAGTAGCCAATTTCATGCTGCTATCTGTTATCTTGTGATCTCTGACAGGAAGTAGTACTGGGACTTTCTCACCTCTCTTTTATCTATTCACGAATGTACAGCCTAATTGCGGATCTCGCCTAAAGGAAAACGTTTTTTCTCTACTGCAACCGTCATTTTGCTATATTCATTTGAATTCAACTGGACGGAAAATATACTTAAGTAACTGTTACTGGTGCACGGTTAGTTCAGTGATACAGTGCTGTCCAGCTAGGCATTTGGCGCGGGTTCAATTTCCTGGAGACCCATTCCCAATCCTCGCTCAGTCAGTAGTAAGCCTGGTAAAGATGGAAGGTTGGGCGCGAGGCTAACAGCCCCACATCGTATAAAAATCACCACCCCTGGTGAAACATCAGAACTCCAGCCTAAACCCATATTTTCCACTCAGAAAAAAAGGAAAATTAAAAAATGAAATTATCACAGAATATTCCATGATGAGATTGCATTATTTCAATATCACAGGAGATAATTTTTCGCATTCCATATAAACGTGCCATATAGCTTTAAGTCTATGCCATACAGAGTTGGAGAAAAGTATCAGATTCTATGATCACTGTTCTTTTGTCGATCGGAATCAATGTATCTTCAGAATACAGAATACGCTTGCTCATATATTTAGCTCTTTAATTTCGCTACAATTGCATACTGACTCTTAACAAGCACAGAAAGAATATTGCTTCATGTGAGGGAAAAATTTGGGCACTATGGTAGAAAAGATTATGAAGAATGAATTGTGCTCAAAACTTCATCCAGTTATCAATGCTATATCACTGTGTGTTATATAAAATAAACTTATCTAATAAGGAAGAATACTTGGTCATAAAGTAGAACTGAGAACAAAATGACTCCATTGTCACAAACATTTTAATGACACCTACCTGTAATAAATCTTTTCTTGAAATTGGACAGTCTGCTGTTTCTAGGTAGTCAGTTACCTCCTCAACACTCAGTAAATTGTCGTTTATTTGTGACATTAAACTTTCCAATTCTTCGATCAGTGGTAAAGCTTTATCTAAACGTTCCAGAGCTGATAGGATTCGCATAACCAATTGATTGTGTTTATCAGACAGCATACTTAATTCGTTGTTTGCCTTTGCTGTTAGCACACCTGTCTCATCGTCGTATATAGAATCCCCATTATCCATTATGTTCAGCAAATCAGTTTTCAGTTCATTCAGTGCTGCAAGCATTGTCTACAACATATAGATATATATATGTACATATACAGGAATAAGAAGCAATTAAATATTTCAAATGAGTGGGATACATAGGCAAAAGCAGTGCTAAAATGAAAAATTTCTCATTAATTTCCCCTGATACAGGTGTTGAAGCACACATGAACTTACTAGTCAGTGTATTTCCAAGTAAGAAAAAGGAATACTTGACGTACAAAAACAAAATGTATGACTACAATTCATCCCTGTGCAGTTATGGACAATAAATTGTGCTTTGAACCTAGTTCAGTAAGCAATATTATGTCTAATTTGAGTATCCACATAATTTATTCAAAACAAGAATAACTTCTTCATGATCTACCATTATAAAACTATTAACTCTAGAATACAATAGCTACAATTATCACAAGTAGTATACTGTGGTAGAAGTACAAGATGGAATAATGATGGGAAAGTTTTAGATATTAGAAAGAAGAGAACACGAAGTTCAGCAAAGATATCTATCTTTTCGGCGATTTCATTTTCAAAAGCTGTACAATCGCATTTAAATACATAATTTTACATGGATACAATTCTTGTTTGATTTCGCATAATTACGATGGCGAATAAAAGGTAACAATTATTTTCAACTAGATATGGTTTTTACGAGAGGCTTAGAAACAAAATTACACAGGATTAGAACGGATATCAAGTGTGTAAAAATCAGGATGGAAACAAAATTGAAATAATAATTTTCAACTTGAGATGGGAGTTAGGAGCAGAAGCCCTCGCAATATGCATGGAGAAGCCGGAGCTGTGTGTTCAAAAGAAATTAGTCCAACCTCTACAACTATCATGGACCTAGTTAGGTATGTTATCTTAGTTTCCGTTTTGTTTTTGGTTTTTTTCCTCTTTCGTTCTCTTTTTTCTTTTTGATCTTTTTTTCTTTCGCTGTGTGTGTGATTCTTACTCCCTCAGTCTTCATTCGATTCACCCCATTTTTTCAGTTATAAAAACAGTTATCTTAAGTTTGTTTCCATGCTTTTCCTGTTCATATTTATAATTCGTTTAAAAAAATTAACTATTTTACAATTATATCTTAATCCTGTGCAATGTTTGTGTTTCTAAGGCTCTTGTGATCTATATTCACACCTCCTAACTCCCATCTCAAGTTGAAAATTATTATTTCAATTTGGTTTCCATGCTCATTTTTACACACTTGATATCCGTTCTAATCCTGTGTAATTTTGTTTCTAAGCCTCTCGTAAAAGCCATATCTAGTTGAAAATAATTGTTACCTTTTATTCGCCATCGTAATTATGCGAAATCAAACAACAATTGTATCCATGTAAAATTATGTATTTAAATGCGATTGTACAGCTTTTGAAAATGAAATCGCCGAAAAGATAGATATCTTTGCTGAACTTCGTGTTCTCTTCTTTCTAATGTCCATATGAGTTTTGGATATCACTGAAATGCACACAAAATGTACGGTCAAAGAGATAAGACAACCGAAGTTAAGTAACTGAATGACCCGTGTGTCAGTTTAATATGAACAAAGCTACAGATCTGAATTGGTAAGTAGAGGACAGTGGTGTGTGAGACAATACGAATTCGACAAATAAACAAACAAACGAGTGAGATACATATAAAATTTTTTTTTTAAATAAGGAGCTTACTCTTCCACTATTGACTGCTGCTTTAATATCTTCTGGGTCTACAGAGATAACATCCAGTGTACAAATTTTACTTTCTATTTGCTTTATTTCCATGCACAGCTTATTTAGACGTGCTTGATGGTCAGATGAACTGGATAACTGGGACATTAGCCTACTTAAAGGTGCAACACGTTCCTTTAGGAAAAGAAAATTTGACATTTTAAAAATATTAATATAAACAATAAAATGAATTATCAAAGGTTTGTTAATATAATTAATGTCTATATGATACAACGTTAAAAAGTGAAGCATACTATCTTGATAAAGGCGATTCGCTATAGTTATTATCCCAGTATGGCTTCCAGACACCTGACTGTCATATCACACCACTTACTTCGGAGGGTAGACCGATTCACCAGTTAACACAAAAGATATTGATAGTCACAGCATTAAAGTTTTATACATACTGTGATTGAACTTAAATTTCTCTTATTTTACCATACTACAGGTACCTGCTGTATGATACTATAGATTAGTAACATCAGTCTGACTGAAGAATCAATCATTTCTCACTTATGACACTAGAATAACTTTAATTTACACTGAAGAAAGGTGGTATGAGGTAACATTTCCAAATAATTCACTCTATCAGTTTGAAACACATAAGCGATGGGACAAATAAGGATCCATCTTCAGCAGATTAGCTAGTGTAAACCATCAACATCATCATACTTTTATTTGCTTCAAAGGTGAAGTAGAGGTACTGTTTTTAACGGGATGAGTATGCTAGCCCAACGACAAACCTTTCCTCTTTTCCGGATTTAGGACTGCCTAGTAAACTAGACTAGGTCTAAGACGATTGCGCCCACCGGGAATCGAACCCAGACCTCCTACATGTTTGGGGAGCACTACCAGCAAACGTCATTTTCAGCAACAAACGAATCTCATCAGTGGAGTAGAGAAAAGCAGATTCCTTACAGATTATTTCATGTTTATTCACCAACTAGTAATCACCACATAATTTTCATAAGTTTGACAAATTGTCCGCATAATTAAATTCCTGCAAAGCGTTAATGCTATTCAGCTTTAAATTTTTTGTGCATTTTTTAACTTAAACAAAGCTGATGTCACCCTTTGCCAATTAGTGAAAATTGTAAATTGATGGTAGTAATTACACTGTTTTTCGTTAAGTATAAATATAATCTTACCTGAAGTTGAGCTTTATAGGCCTTTAAACGACGAATCAGGCATTCATTTTCTGGTTCTAATGATTTAAACTTAATGTTTTCATCCAATTCTTTAATTAAATTATTTGTATTCTTTATATGCATTTGCCATTTATCCGATAATACAACAATATCACTGTCGAAATGTCCATTGTTCAAGCAATTTTCAATATCATTTTCAATGTTCAATAGATTACTTTCATTTTCTATAACACGGTCTTCAAATGAGCGTAGCTGACTGAGAAGACCTTTAAGATAAGTTGTCGTTGAATTAATCTAAAATGGATAAAAGCCAATAAAGAGGAATTAGTTTTTCCTACAATTCAGTGTGTTGAACCCTAAAATATGCAATGCGTTTTACTGATTCATTTTCCCAGAAAATCAATACTTTTTTTCTATTTACATTTGAGATGAAGGCTAACTTGACGTCTGTGTTGTAAGTGACAGTTAGCCAGTGGCTCTTGTGAAACTGCTTATCGTGAAGATTTGTTAGACTGATCGATAGCTACCAGCTTGTAGGCAAAGTAATAAAAATATCTATTAGCATTCTGGCATATTCAGTTTCCGAGCACCAGTCATTTCATACGGTGACGTTTTCTACGAAACATAACACTTTAAACTCAGAGTAACGGTTATGTAGCGAAATGTTTTTCCTATTAAAAACAAGTTTGTTTATTTTATAAGATATTGGTAAAACAAATAAAGCGAACGCAAGATAAGTTCGTGGGAAAATCTCTGACATAATGCAACTTAGAAGTTTTACGACTGGAGGGCTTCAAAATTTGCAATGTTTCTTGTAAACCTGAGTAAGTTGTTCAAGTGAAGTCACTGTGACTTAGAGTTTGTGTTTATGTCAACACTTGATGGTGTACTTTTATTCGAGCCCTGTGAAACAACGCAGATGGTTTTCTGAGCGTACATATTCCATAAACTACTCATTACTTCCAAGGTTTGAAATCCAGCTTCCAAACGGAAGATTCAAACTTGACTGTCTTTTTTGAAAACTCATAATTCCAAATGATACTTCGACCTTTTCATTTAGTTGGTTTGCTTTGTGATGTAATGCACAAATCTGTGTATGTCTTTAAAAACTATTCATTACTGGTAACAAATCAAGATATTTTTTGAAACTAAAAGTTGAAAAATACCAAGTTCAGTGTATCGCAGAGGAACAAATCAATAAAACTATGCGAGCAGTGCAGATCTTACTACACAATCTACTGTACCTTTTCCTCCCTACACTGATTTTCGCAAAAATGAATTTCTCAGTGTATGACAGAATATGGTTTTCTTTGGATGAAGTAATCAGAAGTGTTGCAGTTCATATTTTGACTTTATCTACAGGTGACAAGAAGTTTGATCGGAGATACACATATGAATACACAAAAATTCACTTACAAATTGCCAAACATTATTTTTTTCGAAATATCTACCGAATTTCGCTGATAATTACAACTTAATATACGCAATATTAAACATGCTTTTGAGGATACACAATAATAACAATAATAATTACTTTGAAATCTGTACAAGTGTAACTCACTTCAACTTTAATTAAGGTTAATTCTGTTTTATACTTTTCAAGTTCTTTGAGTATTACACTCCCCATAACACGGGATTCATTTAATGAATTGGCCAGTTTATTCAATCGTTCTTCATCATCAATTGTATGCTCTCGTGATAGTCTGTCAACTGACTACAAAATGAGCAGATTGATAGAAATTCATGTAAGCTGATAGCAAAAAGCAAAATACTTCGAACAGTTATCCATGCAAATCAGCTGTTAGAACAAAAAATGGCACAACGGCTGATGTGAAAAATCACACACATGAAAGTAGATATGCCTCAGTGAAATTTATTCACTCACATCTAAGAGATTATATTAGTTTGTAAATGTTGTTTTTCCATACCTACATTCTTTCAAAACTATTCAGAACACAGTGCTTTGTTTAGTCTAGGCCGAGAAAACTGGAGTAAGTAAACAACTAGAGCATTATGAAAATACTAATCATCAATCAATAAAATTCACTTTCAGTTAATTCTTATAATAATTTTATTCATTTCTTCACGAAAGTAGTTTTTTTTACGTAAACTTTAGCGTAGTGATTTCCTGATTCTTACTATGAGTGGGCTTTTAATACATATCTCGTACACATCTGTCTTCTTGAACAAATTGTTAAACTTAACAATGACTCATTTTAAGCACGAAAACATTCATTGACGCAGAAAGTGATTACACCTTGTCATGAATTTTACTGTTATTAATAGTAGTATTTCTGTTAGAATAAGCTTAACTGCAAAATCTGTAACTTCATCCATATCTGAGTAAACTAGACAAGATTGAAAGGATCGGTCTCATAGTCTCAATCTCCCCGAAAACCAACTGGATTTCAACCAATAGAGCTGGTTGAGCTCTAACATAAAATTTAACTAGGTAACTCTTCACTTTATATCCCTCTGGTTGTTTTTACTATATTATCTTAATCTACCATACCAAGTGTTAAGTGTATAGGTGTCTTGGCAAAGCTGAACTTACTTCTAAATCATCAGCAATCTCACCAAGGTCAGAATAATTACTACCTTTAACACGATCATTTATTGTACGAACCGTTTCAAACCATCGTTTTTCACTATTTAGTACAGCTGTAGTTCAAAACAAAAGGAAGAGAATATAAAGAAATTGAGAAAAATTTAAAACTAGCACAGTCATCACTACACATATTGCGACTATGTGCTGAATGAAGAATAAAAAAGGACAAATAGAGCTAAGCAGGTACAACATCTCAAGGCTCTTCGACCTTTATTATTCGTGATAAAATCAACAGACGACCGTGTAAACCACAAGTCCATTACAGTTATTGAATTTCTAATACTGATGAATTTTAGCAATATGTTCAACCAATAAAATTGTAGGCATATATTTTATAACGCTTCTTTGATATGCTAAAATGGTGCTTTAAACTACGTTGAACGATGATTTCGGACGACACAACACAAAGTAAAACAGCCGTTTAAATAGTCACTATGTAAAATCATGGATTGACAGAGCTTGATAAAAATTGGCCAAAGGGTTCAAATTGACATTAGTGAACGGCTGCTTACTTTCAGATTGTTGTGATAGCTCATACGTTGAACCTGAATTTCGTTGTGCGTTTTAAATGTTTAAAGAATCCCCAACTATAGAGAAACGTCGACTCACTACTGTTTGCTTTTAACCAACTTCTTAACTGACTCTAGTATATTTCTGGTAATTACTTTAGAAACAGTTCTGCATAATCACCCTAATACGAAGACTTATAATAAAGAAGGGGTACCTAACCTGTCATATGCTCTGATGGTGTTCTCATGACTTTTGTTGCCAGATCTGCCAAGGGCGATGGGATAGTAAGCGACCTAATGTTTGTGTGCAAGGTTTGAAGGAGGCTGTGTGTTATTTGCATGCGCCTTGCCCTGATAATGTTTGTGCGTCGGTGGCATAGCGGTTAGGATGCTCGCCAACCATGCACACGGTACGGGTTTCGATCCTCGGTCGACGAACTCCTTTACGTCGCTAAGCCAGAAATAATGCTGGTAAAGAGGAAAGGTTGGGCATGAGGCTAGCAACCCCATCCTGTAAAAATAGACACTGCTAAAGAAACTTCAAACCTCTAGCTTGAAACCCCAGGTTACTCTGGGAACGTAAAGGAAAAAATAATAATAATAAAGAAGACAGTCTAGTATACGTCGTAACTATTTACACTGAGCTAAGAAGTTGATGCTAGGACAATGACGATTATTGGCAGTCTAGCAATTTAGGAACCAGTTGTCAACTTCCGTTATCATGTTTTTTAGGGGACTGGTAAGTGGCATTGAAAATAAAGCTATTCTTAACGTCAACTGTCGTGATTATATCGGTTTTATTGAAAAGTCGTATCGCTGTACTCAAATAAATGACTGTTCCTCATAAATCATTCACTTCTACTGGTTATTATTTTAAATTTTTAAGTGATTTCTTGAAAGAACAAACAATTCGTAAAAGTGTTAAATGTTGAACTTTCAATTACAAAGTCGAAAGACATAATGCCACTACCATCACTAGAAACTTAAACCGTTGGAAATCCCACTGTCATACAACGGGGTAATACTTCTATGAATAGAATAGAAATATTATTGAGAATTAAAAGGCAAGCATAACAAGTTTAACAAACACATACTTTTAAAGTCATCTAAATGGTAAACTGCTGCCATTAAACGTTCTCTTTCAGCTGCGACAGCGGACTCCAAATCAGCAAAATGTGCTTTTGTCAACAAAGCGTCAGTGTCTAGAATAGACTGACCCTTTAAGTTGACTGCACTGCATGTGTCGATTGCAGCTAAAATTGGTCGATTCTCCGTAATTTTATCACCGATCACCTAGCAAAGCAAGAAGAATAATTAATTTCCATTATGAAAACCAATGAAATGCTTTGGTGAAACCACTTGTTCCTCACATTGGTAAAGTGGTGAAAACTGTTGTCAGCCATTCTTCAATTTTACTTCGCTACTGCAGTTTTATTCCACAAAATGGTAGGTTGACCGGTAAGCTTGGGGTAGCAGAACTTAAATGTTGATTAAGTGGACGAAAAGTAACAAGAGGTCAAATTAGTACCTAATTCTAGTAGGTGAATTGGTGCAGTACTGATCATTTAACTCGAAGATTAACATTTCTAACATGCATCATAATAGACAGAAATACATTAATTGATTCATTACAAAACAATTTATCTACTGACTACCGATCATTATACTTCTTTTGACTGACTACTTGTTGCATAATGAACACACGGTGACAATGTTATCCCACTTATCTCATCTGTATGTAGATGATGTGTAATTCACCTGGGAAACAGAGGTCTTAAACTTAGTCAGTTATTTCAGTAGGCCTGTAGCTTTGTATTTGAGATATAGTTGCATTTTCCTGGATGAATGGTTTAATTGAGAAGCCTTTGTTGTCCTACTAGAAAGCACCCTCAAAGCAGACTTCCAAAAGGTCACTTCATATTGAAATAAGAGCTAATTAAAAAAGGTTCTAAATATCAGTATGATTTATAAAACTGTTATATTATGTTTTAAAAACAGAAACTATTATTGCAGACACTGATGCCTACCTTGATAACATTTTCCAGTTTCTTCAAATCTCCTGGATCATTTATAACTGCAAACTGAGATAACTGGTCTTTGGATTGAAGCATCCAGTCTTCAAGCGCTTCTATATCCACATGTACAATATTTGGTGCAGTGATAGCATTGACGACTGGTGATAATCCTATTGGGTCAATGACGGTCTCCGTGACCTCAGCGGTAGGTACTGATGATGAAGTATTACCATTATGCCTATGATCATTACTGTCATTGTTTTCATCCTCAGCATTAGTAGTAGTAGTAGGGACGGTATTGTGATTGTCATCCGAGTCATTTTTACACAGTGTCTGTTGATTAGCTGAGTTAGTCGACAATGGGACAGTTCCGGTAACATCTTGATTTCTGTTCACTGAAGCTGTGCTGTTTGCTTCAGCTAATTTAGCCCTCAAATGATCTCTGTTGGACTTTGTCAAAGTTTTCACCTCATTCCAGTCGTCGTGTAGAGATTGAAGACGATTGGTCGTCAACTGAGTTAATTAATTAATTTTAAAAAATAAGAGAAAATTAAATCCACACTCATTTAGAATATAAAATAAACGGTATGATATGATCTTTTCGACTGAAATATATTTATGCTTAACTTATAAGATTGAATACTTGACTCAAATATACTCTGTATATCTTTGTTGTCTTCTTAGCCAATCTGAAGCATTAGAGACATTTCCCTCATGTAGAATAGAATGCATTTTGAAGTAATAGTTAACATTTCTAACTGCAAAAGAAGTTTCATCATTATAACTCTACCTAATACCTGGAATTCACTGCTGGCCACCACCAACGATCAACCGACTAATACAGTGTTAGTCTGCAGATATCGTCGAAGCATTCGTACGAGGAGCGAAATGTTGAAAGGAACCAAGCATTTCGTTACAATCAATATAACTGATCAACAGGAAAAATACGAGTGAATTTTGACAAGGTGTAGTAGACTTTCCAAAGACAACTTCGTGAACCCTATTCACATCAGTTAGCAGTATTGATCATTATTTTAAAGTCAACCAGTAATATTCAGATGACCTACACAGTGTATGTGTGTGTCCGTGTGCACTGACCTGATCCTACTTTTGAATTCACAGAAGTAAAGTTTCTAAGGAAAGTACACTTCGTGATCTCCAAAACTAAAACCATTGTTAACAATTACTGCGGTTCCTTTTCTGACAGGGAAATTGCTACTCAAGAGACTATGATAAGTTATCTCCACATTGAAAATCAATACCATTTTTGGCATTCACTAACATAATATTCAATTTCATGAGTGCTACATTTTGTTCTTGAATCACTTATTCAATCAGTCATCATCTCAGCGATTTTTCGAGCAATAATAAGCGATGCATAAATGAAAATTTCGTCTTTTATCCGCAATCTTTTAAACTTACTTCAGCATAAGTGGGACTAAAATACTCTAACAGTCTTTGCGCCACTTCATCGACTTTTTGTAAAGTTGGTTTCAGTGTTTTCATATCATTTAAGGCTTCACAGCTCTCCTGCAATTGTGCCTGAATAACTGGAACTGACGGTAAGTGGGCTCGTGATACTGAATCCAAGTAATCTGTCATATCTGCGAGCCACTTTTCAATTCCTTCAAATTGGTTCTATTTTTGAATGTAAATAAAATTAAGACTGAATTTCAAAATCAAGCAAAATTAACTCATTTAAAATAACTGATATGATAGTTAAACCGTTTTCCCCCATAAATTTATACTATTCTAGTTTAGCTACTGAATGTTTTCTTTAAGTAGCAAAGCTACACACTGTTTTGATTGACAAAACACACACATTCCTTCTGTCTTACCAGTATTAATACTTCTCACATTTATTGTTTAGTTTCAAGATGAAGATACATACATTCTGATTATCAGATTTCTTTTCGCTGTTTAACTGATTTTATAATTAGCTATCCAGGTTAATACGTTTGGCCAATCTATAAAACAGAAATATCATATTTCACTTCTATCCTTTCTAGTCTAATCCAGTCTAGCTTAGTCTTTGGTTTTCGATACTTTTCATTCTGTGCGATAGAGTAGTGCAAATTAGGATCCATGTTAATTGTATTGGCTACACAAGTACTTATCCCGTTTATGCATGAATCGGACTATCGCCGTTGGTGTAAACACTATAAAATCATCTGGAGGAAGCGAAGTGTCTTGATGTAAAGTGGAGTCCATCAGAATTTGACCACCTACCACAAATTAGTATTTCAGTCAGTATTGTAGACTGTGGCCTCTTTGCTCAGTAACTTTTATTATCATTACCTAACACTTATACAGCGAAAAGAAAGAAAAACAGAAATACGAAAAACTAAGAGATTGCAAGTCCGATAAAAATATTTTAATTATATACAAGGACAAAAGATGAATGATCACCTGGTAGTAGCTTAGTCTTAAACGCCGCCTCCAGCAATGTTCACCTTTAGTCCATGTGACTGGGAGACAGAACTCTCTTATTCAGATGCTGATTCCGGATGTCGCGACTTCTATGAACTCCTAGTATATCTATGTCCTTCGGCAGAAATCGAACCTATTTAACCTCGAGGAGAGGCTTAATTACAAAGTTATGAATATAGTTAATTTTCACTACAACTGGTATTACTATTCTCCAGGAGCAAGGCGAATCCAACGTACATCACAAAAATTGTTCCAGTGCAAAAAGTTTGCTTTTTTTTACTACTTTGACTCACCAAAAATAATTCATGTTGTTCTGATAAATCTTGTAGAAAATTAATACGTTCAGTCAAATCTGTGCAGACAGTCTCGTATTGTTCTCGTAAATCTTTAACTTTTCCACTCCAACTGATACAATCCAACTGACTTGATGCATTGACTTCTAAGCTGACTAGAAATTGTGCTGTTGCTTCAAAATCTTTCAGCATTTTCTATTGGAATAGACAAAAATTGTTTTCAATTTAATAAAGAAATTAAACACCACATCAAGATTTCATCAGCCTATGAGATGTCTGAAGCGCCTTTTGATCATAAACTTAAATCAATTAAGCAAGTATTGTAAACTATGAAGCTGTAAACATCTTTGTTACTTAAGTTTGGATATTCTGAATCCTAAGTACTAATAACTAAATACGGGTTAGAGAGAAAGAAAGTACGGTGATGCATCATTGAAAACACAATAAACAGGCGTTCACTTAGTGGCACTTCAGTGATTTGTGATTTCCTCTGCTAATTTGCTATACAGTGTGAAACAGTATCAGTTGTGACTAGTTTTAAATCAATCTGTCGTAAAAGATGAAACGAAAAACTTTACACAAAACCAAATCATTTCAAGTGAAAATTTGTGTTCAGCTGAAGAATGTCGACTGAGAAAACAAAACAAGCAACAATTAGTAAAAATGAATGAAGGTTAAAGTAGACCGATGTACAGTAACTTATCTACTATAAGGAGTACAATTAATTGAAGATTAAGACGATATTCACTTCATAATACATTTTTTTGTAAACACTCAAAAAAATACACATCAAATTGACTTTATGGTGTAATAGTGTGGTGAGAGCTGTCTACTAGCCAAATTGGTAGACAGTAATTTACGTCAATGTTTACGTTCTCAAGATTTGTCTTGAGAAAATATGAACAAAGACTGATTCAAAAGCGACCACAGAAGACTTTGCGTAGGCGGATACAATTAACATATAGATGATCTGACATTCAAGAAACAGTCACAAAGAGATGAAAGATTAACTTTAAGTGAGAAACAACCAATCAGAAGACTGTGTTTGTAATGTACATGCAAATATATAAATATGCGTTGATTTCCTTAATAAACGATCTGTTGCCTGACCCTTGCCTTCTGTTGTTACAATAGTACTGATGACGTTGAATATACTGTGCCAATGAAATCCAAATTTAGGAAAACAACAATGTTTTTAGATCACCAATAACCTGAACTGAAAGTATTCATCACTGCTCTGCATGTAAACTGAGTTCTCGCTTAGAAAAAGAACAGTTAAGTTAACAAACCAGGTGTTAAGGTCACTTCACTAAGCTCATAAAATTGTCAGTATAATGATATTACAGCATCTACTGCTGTAATATGGAAATGGAAAGCTGGAAACTTTTTTCATTCTGAATAGTGGTACATCATGATTGACCAGACAAGGGTGACTGAAACGCTAAACAACTGTTTCGTTTGTTGCTAATCACATCACTTTAATGTGGCTGACGTGAAATATTAGCGCTGATGTGAGTGATTTTCAAATATCTAATTCAAATCTTAGTATGTATTCTCCAGTCTTACTTTTATGATGTAAGCAGCAGTTCTTTTTGATAAATGCAACTAAATCACACATACAAGTGGTAGATTTTCAGTTGAATGCAAGAATTATTATTGTTCTTATTATTAAGTGAAGGCAGGAAATTGTACAAATTAATTTTGCTGCGTGGGAGGGATATTAACCACTCACTGCTTTCATCTCTTAACAGGCAATTCCTGCTGGGATCAACTTTCTTATCCTAATATGGTTACCAGTAAAACTACACAGTGTACACTTACATTTAAATTTCCCAATTGTTCATCTGCATCTTCAGGGTGGCGAATACTTATAGGCTGTGAAATAACTTCCTTTGCCTGACTTAGTAATACTGTGATTTCCTCCAATCTCTGATCGATGTCTGGAGAGAGAAAAAATATGATTAAAAAAAACAAAAGTGAATCAGTTTTGTCTGCTGAATAAATATACGAAAAAAATATTAGCCCATTTAGTAGCAAGAAATATAAATTCCCGATTTTATAAAGCGTAAGAGAAAATATCTTTGTGTTACGATGTGAGAGGGGAACAGTTTATAGTCTGTAGAACAAGTGGTGTCACCCACTATGAATTAAGTTGATTGTAGATAATCACTATGTAGCGTAGTATATTTGGTAAACTGAATAGAACTTTCTGTTATGGTTGTTTGGCATATCTCCTTCATCAGAAATCTAGTTAACTGGTACTGCATTAAAATTGACCAAAGAAAGTCCCAAATCTTTATAAAATAATATTCTCACTAAGTTTATTCATTCTTTTTTTGGAAAACGTAGGTTCACCTTTAAAATGTGTTTCATAAATTGCTTAACCTTCAAAGTTGAAAATCTGATGGTGAATACTAACTGCGCTACAGGAAGTTTATGGATTGTTCTACTAGCACAAATCACTCACCATAGTGGAAACAGAAAGACAATTCGTATCTGTATGTGAACACATACATGTGATTATCTTAAACGCAAACAGCATCCAGCTGCAATGTGTCTTAACCCAGATAACTGTATCATCCTACTGAATTTCCTGATTCTGCTGTAATTCAGTAATGCATATAAAGCTTGTTAGTGTGTTTTCTTACAGGTCAGTCAGACTGATCAGTTTTAGACACACCAACACGTATTCTTACAATGAGCCATGCACTAATGACTCATAATGGATTCGTCTACTTGACATATAAAACAAACTATTCGGATGTAAATTACTCAATACAATACCAAGCACTAATTATTTCAATGACTGAAGTAAAATAGCACACATGATTACTGCTTTCGACCTAATGCCAAGAATATTTTGATAAGAGTTATTTTTGTATAGTTTGGTTTGTAAGAGTTAGTTTTGTTTTTACGGGTTGATCACAGATTGATATCAGTTAGAGAACCATTGAAAACCGGAAAATCCTGGGTTCGAACCCCAATGGGTGCGTACTGCCGATGATTCCCAAACTAGGATGAAACAGCAGCTGTCCAGTACTCCCTGGTTTTCAATGGTTCTCCAACTGATATCAATCCGTGATCAACTCGTAAAAATAAGAGTTATTGCAATTTATAACAAAGTAAAAAGCCAGTAGGAACAATGTAAGTATTTCTTCATATAGGAAATAAATTTCGAAACTCGTAGAAATTACTCAAACAGACAAGTTAATTTCCTCTGTTAATCATAACCTATTATTGTTAGTGTAAAACTAAACAGCTAAGTGGTAAAGACTCTCTCCCTCTCTGCATTTGGCAATGAGTAGTACACACCTTAAACATGCCTCTATGCTTGGTTAAACCATAATATTCACTCTATTAAAAGACTAAGACTAGAACAGTAACATCCTCTAACTATCTCACTAGAGTAGCATAGAAAACAAAAGGCAATCGTAGTTAGTAAGGACTTTGTAATTTACGAACTGAACTGCTGTAGTACTATTTAATAAACAACTGGATAATTTTACTGTTTAGCGTATATATATATATATATATATATATATATATGAGCCTGTCACTGTTTATAAATCAAGCGTTAAATAAGCACGTCACAGTTTTCTGAAACATTTTTTTTAAATGTGCGCATGCAAGTGTTTGTCTGCCAAACATTTAGAGACATTTTCTGCAGTCAAAACTGACTCTACAAAAAGAGTATAGTTGTTGATCTGGTTGATAGTTATTCGTAACTCTTCTAGGTTGTATGTTTTTCTGTTACTGAAACTATGCTGATAGAACAGACCAGAATGTGGGTCACTTCACAACACACCACCACCACCACCGCCACAATAAATAATACTACCAAATAAACTAGGTCATTAGATTTCACTAAGTAGTTCTTATTATGTGAAAAAATGACCGCTAAATTGAGACATATTGTGTTTTGTGTGTATACAAAATGATAATGAGCACCTGCATGGTTTGTTCACCAACATTTTTGCGTAGGTGTATAAATAGTGAGTGATCTAGCATCACTATTGAAATATTGATTGCCACGTGACTGAAAATTTCATATATGCTGATTGATTGGTTTCTGTTTCATATACTGTTATCATTTTGCATACTGTTGTTAACCTTGGATGAAATGAATGCACTTGAGCTTAGTGTTTTCTTTTGTGCAAGTGTTATTTATAGTGTTCTAAAAGTATTTCTTATTAGTAGCTAAATAAATTGAATATAAGCTACAAATTATAATAGAAATAGTGATTTCAGATTAACTTCTTGTGATCGATAAAATATAGATTCACTCTTACAATGATAGAAAATGAGAACAAGTTAGTAGCATATTGCACCTGGAAAAATAACTTTACTGAAATACTTTTTTGATTTCTAAAGTAATTTTCAATACTACGATCATTTTTGTCATTACGAACGTGAGATGATTAATTTAAGCATGAAGTTTGTTTATTTCCCAAGTAAAACTTCACGGTTATGAAGTTTCAGTACCGGTGGTATTTATTTTATGAGCTGAGGTTGCTAGGTTAGAGCCTAACGTTTGATCTTTTCTGGACTTTCTATCGGCTTATAGACTTGTGGTTTAAAAGTTCGTCAGTCAGGAATCGAACCCGGATCACCTGTGTGGTTGGCAAGCATTCTACTACCGAACCATTGGTCACTGAGAACAAGAGGAAAATCTTATTACATCTATGATCAAGGGTTGGAACTGCTATAATCACGAGGAATAATTTTGCTAGGAATATTACAAAAAATAAAATTTATCACTGTGTGTGGAGTCACTAAACACGGTGATATACTTCATGTTAAAGGGTGTGTTTCACGATTTCATCATGAGCTGACATTGGTTAGAGAACTATTGGAAAACCTGAAGAAAGTACTGGACAGATGTTTCGTCCCAGCTCGGGATTCTTCATTAGTACGCGCTCATCGGGATTCGAACCCAGGTGAACTTGCAAACCATTAAGCTACTGGAACCCGACCAAATGGTCCATGAATTCCAGCTTCTGCCAATTCACAACAAAGTGCAACCACTAGTGAATGTCATCCGTGAGTATTTATCCTCACACCCGACCTGCCGCACCCCACTGGTACTAAAAGTCTACGAAACTGTGCCTCCAACCTCCTCAATCCACTTTTCAGGAACAACAACATTTATACATCAGTTGTACTGAAGTCAACGTGACAGTCTCAAAATAGTGAAGAATTTTGGACAGAACCAATCCACACTTCATTCTCTATATAAGTGTTTAATAACACTTTCATCCTCATCTTACTATTTCATGTTTCATCTTATATTATTCTACGATTTTGATAGTATGGCTTTAATTCCATTGATGTCATTATTTTTATCACTCAAACTTGAAGAATGAGAGGTGAGCAAGAGTGTTATTGATTAGCAGTTATCATTAACATACATCTGAGATCAGTTCGAAGTCATTCTGAGTATCACTTATCTACATGAAACGATTTATTTAAAAACCGGGTTGAAGCAGAAAATGATTCAGGCTTGGAAGTGTCTTTCAAACGTTATTTACTTCCTACAAGGCCATATATTCTCTTAAGAAGTGAATTCTAAATTATGTGAAATATATAATCTTGGTGAAATGACACTTAGATGTCTACTTATCAGCAGAAGCAGATGAAGAAGTTATAGTTATTAACGATATTATATTGTGTATCAGTCAAAAAGATCCTAGTCCTATGCAAATACCCAGTAGGCACAGTCCTCAGAGCACACATAAAGGGTCAAAACACACGCAAAGTCATTCACTAATTCATCCATATGCCAAGTTATAGTAAAACCGAATAATTTTTTTAAAGAAGTTTGTTTCATAAATGGATATCAGGTGGAAAACCACTGAAAACTTAAGGGAAGCACGCTAATATCCCATCTTATTTCTGGATTCTTTAACAAATTATTCAGGAAAGTAAATAGCACACTTATCTAGAATGTCGCACATAAACTGCAAGATCACTGGGTCATTTAACCAATAAATGCCTCTTTCCATCAATCTTATTCAGTGTTTCAAATTATAAAGTCTGAAGACACATTTATATCACATTGGCATTTTATTTTAGGTATTTCTCTTTGCTGAAAAAAGCGGAATAACGTTTGTCAAGCCTCCGTAAAACAGCCTGAATCACACATAAATGCGACAATGCGTACGCATGACTTCTCAGATGAATTTTGCCATTGATATTCTGTCTACCCGAGTCCTAGAATGAAGTAAAATAACTACATTTTGTCGGCTTATTTTTAACAGTCATTTGGTTAAGACCAAGGCCAAAACAGAGTTTACTGGAAAAAAAATCACAGGCATGAAGACCAGCACAGTCGAAACAGATAGTTGAAAGAGACGAGAAAACCAAATAGCAAGAGTTATTAAATTTCATGAGAACTCCGTTTACCTATTTTGCATACTTAGTTTTATATATCACAATGTAATACAAATTGTGTACATAAATAATGCAGTCTAAGGCATTAAGTAATGTATGTTTACAAGAAAGGGGGTGAATAATTTATGCAGGTCAAAAGAAACTCTAGACAAGTTGGTGAGAAGTGAAAAATCAGTCGTCATGACTGAAAACATCAAAAATGAATGGCGTCATTTTGAAAGGAATAAATAACAATCGTTTGCTTAATCAATCTACAATTTAAGGATCATAAACAGTGCTAGACGAGTAAAAGATATGATAATGAGCGCTTTTTGCCCCTTAAACAATGTACGATAAGAAGCTAGTAAAAAACTACAAAATTCTGAAAACAAGTATACCAGTACAGTTTGGACACTCAAGTAGAATGCTAGGTGCACCACACAGTGAAATTGTGTTACGACCGTGAATAACAAATATATCCGAATGGTCATCTTTAAAATTATCCGGCCTCATTGGGATTTACATACTAAACGAAGTAATTTCAGATTCGAAAGAAGACCTCCTTGAAGGCAGTATTCAAATGCCTTTAATTTACGCATTTCCCGAGACTGTTATCATCAAGCAATGTTAATTTGCATAAAAATGTCTCTCTAGATATTACCTAACACAGTTCAGAACAAATCAAATTCTTAGAAATTTTTCACTAAACTTAAAATTTTTTTCACTTTCACTGTGTATTAAGCGACAGGCTTTTACAAGTCCATTCAGGCCTTTTGATTTCCCTGTTAACATTGTCGATCACTAGTGCTTAAAAGTCTAGCATCTTGAATTTATGCCTTACTGTAATCAGTTTTTCAGAACGAAGTCTTTCTGTTTTCTATCTTTCTAACTCCACCTTGATATGATTATGAGTGGCAATAAATTGTGCTCAAAACGTCATCAGTAAATATTACTGTATAACACTGTGAGACTCTATCAAAATAAATTTTACCCATAATGGAATTACACTCTATCACAGTGCACAAGTTCTGTTCTTATATCACTTTCTAACTCCTTTTTTTTGATGTGGTTGTGTTCTCTGAGCTGGATGGTTTGGTTGCGAAGCTTTCATTGCTCTACTGAGCAACATCGTCAGCGCATACTTCGATGTGAAGTGAGCTTTTAGAATTCTCTATGAGTTTATTAGTCATCTCTACTAGTAACCCTGAACGTGATTGGTTGTTTTCGTGTGACATTTCATCCCCTAGTTTGCTTGTCTCGGTGCTGGCTGCTTCTTTGGTCTGAATGTCGTTAGTCATTACTTCTGCTAACCTTGAACGTGATTGGTTGTTTTTGTGTGACTTCTCACTTTCTAGTTCACTTGTTTTGGTGTTGACTGTTTCCTTGACCTGAAGTTTGACTTTGTGGACGCCCTCTTCGTCTTCGCATCCACGAACACAAACTAGCTGTCAAAAGACACGACATACACTCCCTCATATCACTACACGCAGACAACCACGGGCACCAATTCGACTGGGACAATGTTCAAATCTTAGACAAAGGGAACTGCAAAAATGCCAGAGAATTCCTAGAGGCTTGGTATTCAAATGAATCAGCAGTCAATAGACACATAGAGATTGACAAAATATACCAATCCATACGAAGAAATTCGCACAAAAACAAAGTCAAACTTCAGGTCAAGGAAACAGTCAACACCAAAACAAGTGAACTAGAAAGTGAGAATTCACACAAAAACAACCAATCACGTTCAAGGCTAGCAGAAGGAATGACTAACGACATTCAGACCAAAGAAGCAGCCAGCACCGAGACAAGCAAACTAGGGGATGAAATGTCACACGAAAACAACCAATCACGTTCAGGGTTACTAGAAGAGATGACTAATAAACTCATAGAGAATTCTAAAAGCTCACTTCACATCGAAGTATGCGCTGACGATGTTGCTCAGTAGAGCAATGAAAGCTTCGCAACCAAACCATCCAGCTCGGAGAACACAACCACATTGAAATCATCCACCTGAGCTACAAATCTTCTCTATTATATCTAACTCCTTTTTTAGCTTACGTACAAATGAAATGCCTTCACTGAACGAATGAACACCACTCATAAAGTTTTAAAATGGTAATTTTCTGTATATCATAATGAACACTTCAACTTGGAAAACTATTGTTATTTAAACTGAGCAGTCAAAATGTTCTATGAAAAGTTAAGTTATCCAAGTGTGATAATTGGTTCGCTCATATCTGCTAAAGTAGCCACTCTATTTTGAATCAACTATGAATCTGTTTGTACTCTTTAGAAGCCTGTTCGTTAAAGTCAAGTGAAACTGAACTTAAAACTTCACTTCATCGCACCAAATAGGTAGAAATAATCACCTGCTTCAAAAATTTCGTCAACACATTATGCTTGTAAACGTAACTCGACATTTATCTTCTTAATTTTGTGTGTGTGTGCCGTACTGAGGTTAAGTGGGGAGTGCTAGGTAAGGAATGGAAGTCAATCGATGAGGTTGTGAAGCTACATCGGTTGAGAAGGTTTGGACACATCAACGAGCAATGTTAGTTGACACAGGATAAAGCTGAGAAAGAGATAGGAGTGATCAACAGCATCAATCCATGAATTCTTTGACAGTTAGTTCGAGCCATGTAGTTCTCCAGATGCTATGAACCAATGAAATGAGAATGTTAGTGACGCAGCTCAAAGGCATTCTCAATGGCACAGATACATTCACTCTAAGCAATCTCGCAGATCCATTAAACCCTCATATTTTTCATGTCCCATTCTTTTCTACTCATTATATTTTGTTTCATTTTCAGTTTTATCTCTTTTCCCTACCTCTGTATACCACGTGAAGTGTAGCATGTTGGAGTGCTGCACTTCTGTGCAAAGTTTTATGTTGAAACTCAGTCAGTTGAGTAGACAATTATCCATTGGCCCATAGGTTTGATTGAATTAGATGGTCCAAATATACACATCTAAGTACTCATTATGTTTTTTCAACATACTGAATATTGTGTACCTTGCTAACTGCTGGTATGAATCTAAAAGTGACAGAAATGCTATCAGAAATGGAAAAACAACGTATTAATTTTATGAAGAAAGTCGTTTATCATGCTCCAACAAGCACTGCGTCAGTTGCTTACCGCCTAACTAAATCAATAAAGTGACAAAAGGTAGTCGTACACATAGTTTTCTAACATACTTTTGGCCAAATGGTGACACACTCAGAAAGTTGGGCATTGTAGGCAATCAGATCAGTCACATTTATAACATCATTCTCACTACTGCTAGCATTGTCGCTATTATTATCTACATAAAATTTATTCTTAATGATGTCCAAATCATAAGAATTCAATAGAAATGATATCACATATTTGTGTTTCTCTTGGTGAATTTAGAAAAACTAAAGCAGATCAAACTAGCAGGCCTAATAATCTACACAATTCGTTACCAATAAATTATTGCTGAATACACTGGTCATTGCTGATATCCAAAATCGACAAAAGTATAACAAAAAGAGAATAACCGAAAACATACCTGTACTACTGAAGTCTAAATCACTGTTGGAATGGAACTTAAGTTCGCTGGATAATGACTTAGAATCTGTGGTGTTTGTTGGTTTCTCTTCGTTTTCTTGCATATCATTGAAATTCCTTTCTACTGAATCTTCTTGTGATTGAGATAATAACGCATGTATTTTGGCTGCCTCTTGCTGAAATTCAGCACTCTGGTTTGTAATTCTGACCTGGCGATTGGCTTCCACAAGCAATTTGTCAAGGTAACTCCATCTTTCTTCAACCTCATCGAATAATTGGTCCAGTTCTTCAATATTTTCACCGGCTATTATTGAGAAATGATAACAAAGCATGAGAAAAGAGAAAGATGCTAAATGGATTATTCAAATACGTTCATCTAATTCTATGATCTTCGCAGTTTAGAAATTAAACCATCTGATGCAATATCTTAATATGCTAGCCTATGGATAAATTCGTCAGACTAGTCTGTTAAAAGTCGTAAAGTCAGCTTTCATTATTGTCTTGATCTACTCCAGAGGAAAATGCATAAATATATCATTACTTACCAGACTACAGTGCTGGCATTAATGAGTTAAAATCCCTAATGAAACCATGTCTGTGTTGTATACAACTTTTTCAATATCCAGGGTCTCTAGTTAATCGATTCATGCATTTTCTACCTCGCTTAATGAGTGCTGTTGAAGGGACTTAGTATTCTGTGTATGTGTATGTATATGAGTAGAACCTTCAACAGCGCCTAGACAACAATAGCGTTTATTAACAAACGAAATTCATAGACTAGATTAAGAGATTGATTATCATCAAGCGTCTTGTAAGAAGTCATATGAATGATTCAACTAAAACTTTGTAGAATTCCCAGTAGCTAGTCATACCCATAATGCGATAAACAGTACACTATACTACACGACAAGGAAAAAGATCAAGATGAAATATTATCGTATATTACCTTGAGATAATTCCTCTCGATATTGTTCTCCTAAGAGTAGAACACGTTGTTTTATGTTTCGCCAGTCGTCAAGTTCATTGGTTACACGATTGATCACGTGGATGGCGTCATCATCATCATCCTCATCCTCATTATTATCTTTACCAGTACGGGTAGATATAACATGCCGACCTAAAGCCTGAGCTTGTCCACTTGCTTCAAGGGCACGACGTTTATCCATTGTAATTAACTCTAGTATTTCTGCGCTGTTATCCAACCAATTTAACAGTTCTTCAGCTTTAGCTTCAAATTCTGCCCGATAACCTATAATATGATAGAATGGAAAAATAATTATTGGTGATATACTGGAGAGAATCAGTGAGGAAGATTCAGTTACGTGCAGTGTTTTTTATTTCCTGGTATTCATTAACAAGTATTTCAAAAAACCTTAGGCTTTTCTTTAACAAACTCTAGCTAGAACACTTACTTGTAAGCCCACAGAAGTAAGTGAATTAATTAAGGTGAAAGTCAATTGAATATCTGAACATTCAAAATGCATACAGTCAGATATAAACATTTACACAAGTAAATTCTAAAAATGTTGTAACAGTAAACATATGAAATCTGGTTTGTTAAATTGTGTGCATGAGAGAATCTAAGTGTTTCTGAGTAGAACAAAGATTGTGATTTCATGTTACTCTATTTATTTTTGGTACAATGTAATGGAAAAACAGCTCTTTTCAGTTGCAAAACGAGAATTTAGATATTTAACGCTAATTTTTGTGAAATAAAAATTGAAGCCAAACGAAAGTTTAAAAAATAATCAAAGAAAGCCAGAATCATGCTAATCGCAATTTAAGTTTACATTCTAGTTTAAACTAGACTTTCTTTTCGTATTGTAAACTAAGAGATTACAGAAAGTCGTTGGTGTAAAGTAATTAAAAGATGATAACTTTTCGAATGAACACATCAGTGTAAATAAAGATACTGAGAATCATTTGTTGGATAGCGACTAACACTGGAATCTAGGATAATCACTTCGTTCGACTGCACTGCTAGCCACCATATACCAAATAATCTCAAACATGCTTTTCATCTACTTCATCAAACTGATAATTGTAATGAGAACGTGGACATATCCATGGAATGATACAAGTTTGACCTTTTTCCTTTTTGTAATTATGCTAACTACCGTAAAAATACATGAAGTATGTTACTCCTGAATTTTGATAACTGTCACCCAATGAGCTAGACAAATGACCGATCAGGATACTTTTTTGCTTTTCCTGAGAACTACTATAATCGAAGGAAGCTTTAGAAGAAAAGCTTACACCAATATAATAAAAGGTATGTGTCTGGCAATAGTGGTCTACACTGATTAAGAATGCTAAGTATGCAGTGAGTGACAAAAAACCCATTTTCATAAAGTATGGCTTGAAAAGCAATGTCATCACTTGATGAGTGATACGCAAAAACAAATGCTGGACGTAGATGTGATATCCAGTCGCCAGACGAAGGAACGGTTTACTGAGATAATCTATGATTGGCAGTTTTTTCTCTTCATTTCATCCTTGAGATGAATATAGCTAGGCATATGGATTTGCCAAGCATATACAGTAAATGTGCAGAAAGAAAAGTTGATGAATGCTTTTGATTATGCTAAAATTAAACTGGCTATTTAAATGTGTACAGTACGACTTATCACTCCACTTAAAATGAGATATATCCTGAGCATTCTAAAATCCAAGCCTCGTAGAAAAGGTAATTTGTAAACAAATAAAACTCAACTTGGGTATTTAAGATAAGAATTTATCTTCTTTTTGCGTGAAGATAAATGTTCATGGACATTTTAAAAATATCACATTTTCCAGCCCTTACTTCTCGTCCAAATTCCTATTGTTGATCTTTAATCATCTGGTTATCTTGGTTGGTGTGGCTTTTCTAACTTAACCACTTCTGTTGCAACAAATATATTTCACGTTTATCCACCTTCTTGAACAATCAATGACTATTTTCAACCAAATTAAATTAAATTGCGTGAAAAGCGTTGCGTATTCACACAGTGAAGCTGTTGTTAGCTTCACGCAGATCAAAAGAACTGATGAAGCCGAATGATGTTATATTAGTCTACTCAAATCTTTATTGGACAGTAGTCAGCAACATGTGTGATGTGTCTAGTCCTATCTTTGGTGCAGATTGAATTCTGTCAGGCATTTTATTTCCTTATGAAATTTATTTAAGGGAAGGAATTATATGAAATGCTGATTTTTTCCCTGAGTACGTGTGAACTTCGTGCGCTATACATCATCAGCATAGTTCTACAAAAGACTATTTGGTATTCAGATAATTTCTCGGTGAAGTTTCCAGTTTCACTGCTCACTAAAACATGTTGAAGCCCAAGAAAGAGTATGATTACTGATAGGCCTTCACAGAAATATCTACCAACCGATACCAAATTAATAAGATTATGAATCTAAAGTTTACTATCGACTGAGTTTAAGTATACTAGTAATGGATAAGTGCTGTGAATGAATATGTTTGCATCCCATATTCTAACAACAACGTGGATTTTGAGATTACTGTTCGAAAAATACTGGAAACGAACCACTGTCTCATTCAGTTTCCGTTATCTAGTGAAGTTTAAGTTGCCTGAAAAGGAGAAACAGATCAATCTGTAGAAATTACCATTTTTACTCATAATGATGTAACTGTCGTGTATAACGCACAGTGCATACTAGGTGAGTTGAAATTTGTAACAACAATCTCTCTATTTATACCAGTTATATTTAGTATAGTCAACTTACCAGTTGGCGATGGTGGCGGTTGCATATCGAAACGTGACATTTTTGTGGCTTTGGGAAGTACAAGGTGACCTTCAGAGGTTCGTTTAGTTTCTGACTGTGAGTTCTGTGCAGTGATAAAAAGAAAGAAAAAGAGAAAGGTGAAAAAGTTATTGCATGTGCTACTGGCAAGATCTACCGGTAGTATATAGCAAGACTTTCATAGACACAAAAATATCATTAGAGGAGACATGGATTTGACACCAAAGGCAAAACATGAAAGACACGAAAAGAAGACAATGAAACACAATACGAAGGGCAGAAGTAGCACAACACGGAAGATCTGTGTAAATGACTACTTTAATATAGGGTATATATATAATTTCCCTATATGTCTCCTATGTCAAATTACTAACAGAAATTCCATTACCAAGTCTCTTGTCTTCTCCCGCAACAAGTCATGAATATAATGCTACAGTCAGAACAACTCAAAACTCACAGTTTCCGAAATAAAAGACAGCAGATTAAATTATTACCTGTTCAGATTTTGTCAATGAGTGATTTGGAATATTGGTCAATAGGCCTGTTCTAGTTGTAGACTCAACATATTTTTCAACATCTTTTAAATCTTTCTCAGGCCAATCTTCACAGTTGATTTGAGGATCACGCAGTTGGCTCCAACGTGATACTAACTGGTCAACTATTTTTTCAACTAAACGGCTAACACTGTCTGTGTCACCACAAGCTTCACGTATTGCCTGTGCTCGACGATCCAAGCTAGCCAATAATTGTGCCCAACGAGATTCGTGTGGTGATAAGCAGGCCTTGAAATTAAAAAACAGATGAAGAGAAAAACAGAATAGGTAAGTCATTTATATGCGACGAAATATTCGTCTAATATACATTTGAAGATTCAATTATCCTAAGCAACATGTTAAAGGTAAACATACCCTTGAAATTTATATCTGTCTGTCAGATGTTCCAGTATCAAACCACACCTTAAAACTTGTTGATCAGAAACTTTTCAGGGACTAATTTGATAGTATCTGTTTGAATTAACTTACCAGGACTTCGGAATGTTTTACTTTGTTTGAGTGATATATTATATATATATTATATATATATATATATATGGTAGCTGCTAGTAATGAATTTCACTACTCTCTGCTTAACTCCACATGCCTGTATTACTGTACTCATACTGAGACGCATATCATGTCAATATTTCAGAAACCAGAAATTCATTAATTCAGCTACGGAACGTCAGTGCACACTGTTTGTCTCAGATGTCTTTTCTTTGCCTTAATCGTTGGTGACTGCCAGAACTAAGATATTCAGTTTCATTTTGAAAAGTTTGATACAAAAAGAAATGCATTTCACGTATTCACTTTATTTAGTCATGTAAATAAAAAAACAGCGCTCAATAACACCTTAATTGTAATTTGCTATCTAAAATTCAAAGTTCACAAAATATACTATATAGACAGGCAGTATAACCAAAACTGTGAATCTCTGAGATAAGTTACACTAGTTGAGTGACGCTAAATTACTCTAACTTCTTAAGCCATCGACCATTAGAGTTCGCATAAGCTCATACGCTTAAAAGTTTATACTGACCTCCAGTCTGACTCAAAGTGTGTATCAGGAACGAGCTATAGTAAAGTACGTAAGTAGCAGAAATACTAGCAGAAACTTCAACACTGTGGTGCAGTAATAATTATGTTTTAACCAACCCACTTTATATACCATTCTGATTAGCAACAATGTTGCCTAGCAAGTAAACAGTACTGTGTCACTATGTGCCAGACCATATAAAAAACCATATATAAAACCTAATTCAAATGAATGTATGTGTAAAATATCAACACTGTGTTAGCATGCAATTCCATATTAATTTGTTTATAAGATATTTGTTTATCAGGCTCTTGTAATCTATATTCACACCTCCTAACTCCCATCTCAAGTTGAAAATTATCATTTCAATTTTGTTTCCATGCTCATTTTTTATATGCCTGTAATTCGTTGTAACCCTGTATAATTTTTGTTTCTAAGGCTCTTGTAATCTACATTCGCACCTCCTAACTCTCATCTCAAGTTGAAAATTATTATTTCAATTTTTTTTCCATGCTCACTTTTACACACTTGTTATCCGTTATAATCCTGTGTAATTTTGTTTCTAAGCCTCGCGTAAAAGCCATATCTAGTTGGAAATAATTATCACCTCTTATTTGCCGACGTAATTATGCGAAATCAAACAAGAATTGTATCTCTGTAAAATTATGTATTTAAATGCGATTGTACAGCTTTTGAAAATGAAATCGCCGGAAAGATATCTTTGCTGAACTTCGTGTTCTCTTCTTTCTAATATCAGATATACCTCACAACTTGTTTAGTTACAATTAATATGATTATCAACAATAAATTATGCTTGAAACATCATTCAGTAATAAATAGTACTGACACAGCCCAGCTTTTAAAACTGCAAAATTACTTGACCAACTTCTAGGTAGGAACAGACACCCACTGATAACACTAGGTCAGGCTAAACTGCAAATCAGCAGAAGCCATTGGAACCCTAATCCAGCTGCTGAGTAATTTCTTGCTTATATGTTTCACCCGATAGTCTTGATTCCAACAAGTATAGCAGACTGCCGGGAATCAAAGTAAGAGGTCCCGGCATGGCTAGTGAGTATTCCACCACTGAGTAACCAACGCACGTCATGCCTGACTTTCAGACGTTAACTGTATCAAGTGTAGCTTTTCACAAAGGAAGGTTTGTCACTTACTCAGAAGTGTTCATCAGAACAGCAGAAATTATTAATTATAACGGGCACCATTCATGTTTTTAAAGATGGTGATGATATGATAAATCCATAAACCGACGCTTGTTACACAGTGTACTAATCTATCTATTTCTAGAAACCGTCCATCAAAGTTGAATTCCTCAGTATTTCAAGTGAAATTTTCACGAGTGAACAGAAGTTGTTCAGGGATCCAGCCTCAAAACAATCAGACCATCATTCCCCTTTATTATGATACAGCTGATCAAATTAGCCTGATCGGGAATATCTTAAGCGAATTCGCTAAGTCTGACAACTAGGCCTACCACCATACCATTTTTGGCTAGTGTCGCAATTATTATGTATATATCTCTTTTTATATTTATGCTCTGAGCATTACAGTAGGTGAAATACAATGGATATAAATATATCTTATTAAAACGGTGATTACCAGTATGATTAGATCAATAACCAGTCATTTATTAAAACTTCCAACTGCGTTAACACTGGGGGTGTAAAATACACGTGAGTTTTTTTCTTTATCATACAGCTCAACTATGAGCAAACGTCTCTTACACAAGACACCCACGCATATGCATACACAGACACACAACACTTTCAGTGACAAAAATCATCATCCTAATTGTACACTGATTTGACATAATGACATAAGATGTACAAAAAGAGAGGAAAAAACTAAGAAGCTAGTTGCGATTAGTTGCAACATCATCCCGAACCCATGAATGGGCCAGTCTATGCGCATAGTGTTTTCTCCAAGACCATGTCGCCTTGAATTTGTATTTGATTACTAAACTGAGACACCATCTGACTTTATTTCATTCAGAAATAAATAACCTCCAGTTTTGAATAAATCATCGCTGAATTAATGAAAATGACCTGTCCTGTAATGAATTTGATAATAACATTGAAGGATAAGGTGGATAGCTTAACACTGACGGGCTCACCACCAGATCTTAGACACGTGTTAGACGATTCAAACTCGGAGAAAAACGTTTAGGAAATGGTTATTCATTGGAAGTCTATTCTAAATTATACATCTTACTGTTAGAGCTTCAAGCATGCTACAACAACACAAATATTCCTGTGAACACAGGAAAAATGTTCGGAAATCCAAAACCATAACAATATTGTTGACTTGCCTAGCCTCTAGTGTGCATATATATATATATATATATATATATATATATATGTATTCTGCATAAACAATTTCATCTCAAAATTCGTAATCTTGACACTTCGACATTTACTAAATGTATGCACAGAATTCCTGATCACTTGATAAAATGAGAAATTCTGTCACTGCCAAAAGACAGTATCAACTAATCGATCATGTGAATGAATACGAGAAAACATGTTTCACAGGATTTCAGAATACATACACATACACACACACAAATATTGTAATGAGTTCATTCGCATGCTTTTTATCAGAAATCTTTTTAAGGTAAGATAAAACAGATGACTTGGTGGTTATCAAAGTAGAGAACAATCAGTACAAAAATATATCCTACAATTGATTCAGAAAAGCACATCATTTTCTGTCACTTTTTGTTTTAAAAAATATAAGCAATAAAAGCACCACTTTTTTCGGTCATATCTGCAACAATACTGATTAAATTTCGACAAGACTGTTTGTTACCTTATGTTAGTTATTCATCAATAATGAAGCAGACATGTTTTGTCAAGTACGACTAGTTTGTAGTAAATCTTTCTTGCCCAACTAATTGTCTTTATCACATCCAGTACATAAATACAAAATTGGCCCATACTGTTTACTACACAGATGAAGTTGTAAAGAAAAAAGTCAGTAATTGGTTGCAGCTGGCAGATGGGCTATGCTGACCTTTGTATAAACAGACTACGCAAACCATTATGGTCACCATCAGTTTCTGTTCCCTGTCCCTAGGTAGCCTTTAGATACACAAACAATGACTTCTATAAGGTTTTTAACATATTTCGGGAAATACATAGAGGAATTAGTATTCGCCAGAAACCGATACTCCATACAGAATTGAGGAAAACAAGACTTATGAGGGAAGATCTGAGAAAGACAAATGAAATAACCAGCTTCACACTGATTCCAATATTATCAAATAATACTGGCCATTGTGCATTAGGGATCTTTTGTTCTTGAATAACAGTCATCGTTTATTCACTAACCTTTAGACATTTCAACACTATTCTTGCGTCTTTTGTGCAACAGATTTTCCATTTACATCTTAATTATGAGTGTTGTTTCAAACCTTCTACATGATACTTATTATAGGGGTAGCCCGCACTGCAGAACTAACGAAAACATGGTGCATCTACTTGCATAATTCCTATCAATATTTAAGCAGTGGTGTGAATTTATGACCTCAACTGATATTGGATTTAGGACAGTTAAGCGGTGTAGACAATAAGTGGGATTCGAATGACCCCTGTATTTCAAATTCGTCGATAAGAGTAACCAAATAATGCCATAAACTATTTGTTCGAATCAACAAATAACACATTACCAAGTGTTGGCTTGCAGGGATTCGATTGGTTACAGGATTGATCACGAGGTGATATCAGTTAGGAAACCTTTGAAAAACCCGAAGGGAGTACTGGACAGCTGTTTCGTCCTACCTTGAGATTCTTCATCAGTATGCATCCACCGGGGTTCAAACCCAGGATCGTTCGGTTACGAGGCGAGCTCATAGACCATTCAGCCACTGGAAGCCGACCGAATGGTACATGAATCCCGACTTCTGACGATTTGTAACATATATTTAGCGCAACCACCGACTAGTATCACAGGCGAGTAACTGTCCTCAGGTAGGGGGACACTGGCCTGTGACATTGGCTGGCAATTGCGCTAAATACATATTTATCACGAAATAACCCATTATCATTAGAATTATTTCCGCGATCTAGAATAGGGTTATAGATAAATACTATACAAAATACTAAAGATTGGAAATGTTGGCTAGTCACTGTTAACGGTTTTCAAGGCTTTATTCAGTGTGCATTTGTGATTACGAAAAACTTTCAATTCAGTG